TTTCTCGACATTCTAGCCATCGATATTGAAGTGGATGAGGTTGAACCACGGGACACTAGCGGCGACCCGCACGATATCCTGGAAGGCGAGGCTCTTCCTTTCATTTGGAAGAAGCTTCAAATAGATGAAGAAGAGGAGTCGATGGAAGATATCAGGACAAGTATGTTCCTCCCAATGTACCCTTTTGAAATTTGAGAGTGTGACTCACCACACCGTTTAGTGCAAGCCTGGGCGGTTGACATCTCGAACTCAAAATACATAGCGACGATGTTAAAGTGAGGTTATTTGCTCCGATGTCGCCAACCAACACTCAAAGCTACTAGATGGCTGAAACAGTCAGGCCTCGAGAGCGATACTCTATCACATCTCAAACGCATCAGGAAAAGAGACAGTATCTCCACGCTCCTGCTCAGCGTCTCGTCCTCTGTTCCTGTACTTCCTACGAACATTGATATCGGAGGTCCCTATCAGATTTCTGTCCCCTGCCATCCTGCTTTAACACAAACGTCACTTATCTTAAAAAATACGTTGTGGCCTACTGTATACGCACCACGGCGGAAATGGGAACCCGAGAAATGGTCTATTGCTAAGGTTCAATGGGCTCGTGATGCCATCAATCACATTTTACGAAATACTGCTGAGACAGCGTCAAGTGACGAGGTTGGTTAATTAGAAGTCTGGGATGAGAAGGTATACTCACAGTCTCTCAGCTTCCGGTCGTTGCATACGTGCCTAAGCCCTTCGAAGACGAAGCTCTATTGTCTCGGTCATTTACAGCCAAAGACACGCGTATATCCACTGGGCATCCTTTGCGCCATGCTGCAATGAACATCATTCGAAACGTAGCCGATTGGCGTGCACAAACGTCCCCCGCCGATCCTCTATCTGACACCCCGAAGCCCGCTACTTCCCCTTCCAACGGCAGCCTTGGAATCTCAGACACATCATGCAATGGCGTAAATTACCTGCTAACTGGGCTTACGCTCTTCATAACTCACGAACCATGCATCATGTGCAGCATGGCACTGCTGCATTCGCGCGTCAAAGAGGTTTTCTACATTGTCCCCATGCCACGGACAGGAGGATGCGGTGGATCTGCATGTCTGCCTGCGCTCAAGGGTGTTAACCACCGCTACAGCATTGCGCACTGGAGACAAAAAGAAGGCAACGCCCCAGCACATCTTGACGAGCAGATAGACGCATAACGATCGGATAGATGTATAATGAAATAGTCATCTCCTCCCACTCACTAGTCACATATCATACATGATTTCCATCAAACCCCATTAACAGTCTTACATAGATGCTACCGGTCATCCAAACGATTCTTCTAGCTCCTTCTATTCAAATAATTAACAATACATACACACATACTGTCCGGTGGAGGACGACGAATGGGACATAAGGAGAGCAATAGCATGCAAGTGACAAAAGTCGAGAATAGAAACATTCCGTCGCCCTCCCGCATTCTCCGTCGCCCGTCCTGACAGTCTCAGACTTCTGCCTTAACTCCATCCCCCTGACTAAAGTCGCGTAAACGAACGCAGCTGCAACGCAGATGGCTGCCACATCTTGTCATGAATGAGTCCCAAAAGATCGGAATCGGGGAGTGTACGCAGATAAGCATTATCGTCCAATTTCTGGAGTATAAAGATCAGCATCGAATTTTCACTCAGGCGTGGGTATCGTTCCCTCCTTACATCTTTTTGGGCTTGTCTGATAACGGCAAATGCGACCTGGGCGCTGATATCCCTGATGCGCGCAAGGCGAGGATATACAAGCTCGGCTGCCTTCTCTTCCTCGGTCAAGGAGTTGGCAAGTGCGATAGCTGCCTGTTCGACCATGGCATCCGATACGTGCCGAGTTCGGGAGAGGATCGCACCGAGGCCGATACCGGGGAAGATGTACATGTTGTTTCCTTGGCCAGGCTCGTACACAACACCGTTATGAGACAAGGGCTTGTACGGGCTGCCTGACGCGAAGATGACCTGTCCATCGGACCTTTACAAGTGAGGATTATTAACATCGACTATGCTGCGGGGGCTCTGTTAACTTACCATTCGATGGCGTCCTGGTAGTCCAGTTCGCATAGCGCGACGGGATTCGACAAGGGAAAGATGATGGGACGGGGGTTCAGCGCACACATCGCTTTAACGACTTTCTCAGTGAATGCATTCTAGAACGAGGTGAGGTTATGCAAAACCCAACTATTACTGGAAGACGTACTCTGATGGTGCTTAGGCCGAGCAAGGCAGTGGGCTTCACGTGGTTGATGATGTCAACGAGGTCAGTGAGCGCAGGGCCATCGTAATCAGTGCGCGCGAAGACTGTAATTGCAGTTTAGTTCTTAGAAAACAACACAAACATATCCTCGTACACTTCTTGTGCTCCTGAAGACCTTTGCGGTTGGCAGTAACAAGACCTTTCGAATCAACAGTCTAACAAGGCTTATTGAGTGACAAATTCAAATGCCCTTCGAATGTAGCTTAGCTCACGTAGATTCGAGACCTTGCTTCTTCGGGACTCAGGCCAGACAAGGTAAAGAAGGACAATAACTGCTTGGCAACGCCTATACCTGCAGAACCGGCTCCGAGGAACAGGATTTTGTGATCTGATGGCGGCAGCCCGGAAGCGGCAGAAGACAAACGAGCGGCATTTGTGAAACCTGACAAGATCACGGATCCAGTGCCTTGGATCTGCACAGGGGTCAACATAAAAACAGAGTGAGAGTTGGAATGTGATTGACTGACATCATCGTTGAAAACACGATATTGATGGCGGTACCGTTCAAGGTATTTGAACGCGTTGTCCGTTGAGAAGTCTTCGAATTGTACTAGTAGGGTAGGGAAGACTTCTTTCATGGCCTCCATGAACTCGTCCATGAATGCATCCATCTTCAATACACATGTAAGTATATGGACGTGCATATGATAGCAGGGGACTTACTTCCGCGGCCAACGGGCGTGGGCGGCGAACGCCGATGTAAAGAGGATCATCGAGGTAGCGTTGTGTATTGGTACCTAAATCCAGGCAAATCGGGACCTGGCCAGAGTCAATTGGGCGCCGGTTAATATGAAAAGCATGGACTTACAGTAGATGACGGTTTAATGCCGGCACCAGCGATGTAGAGGTCCCTGCGTAGTTATGTTCGTTGAAGGATTCTTTGGAAAAGCGTAAACACTCACAATTTCCCAAGACTGATGGGCAGACCGTTTGCCCCAAGATCGCCCAAACCGAGAATACGAGAACCTGATGGTTTGATCAGGAAGATACATAGCATGGAGCATCGATCTAGCCTACCATCGGTAACGACGGCTATACGGCCGTCGTTTAATTTTGGCCAGGTGGCCAAAACGTCGCGAATACGACCCTTGTCTTCAATGGAGACATAAAGACCCTCGGGCCGCCTCCATATATGGGAGTAGTTGACACAAGCTTCTCCAACCTTCGAAGAGCACTTCTTAAGTATGGTCACACGACCTGGTGAAGCACCTTACAGTTGGTGTATACAAGATGGGAATCATTTCCTGAGTAATTTAAAACACCTCAGTCCCGGTTTTACACGAGACGATGAGGAGGCTTACTTGCATGTTCTCAAGCAAAATGTCATAGAACAGATTAGAGTCGCGCCCTTTGAGGCCATTTAGATAGATGTATTTTTCAAGACTAAGCTGTTTGGAACGCATTTGGTTGAGAGAGCGCTGACGGTGATCAGTTTGGGCAAAATGGGGAGGAAAACGAGTTGACGCCATGGTATGAAAATTGGATGTGAGAGAACGTGCTGGATGGTTGAACGCAGAAGCCAGTGTAGCTTTATAGGAAGAGTAAGTGACACGACACAGCATCCAGATATTGAAACAAAGTTCTCGGTACAAGGTGGTACGAGAGGAAGAAGTTCAGAAGCTGTGAGTCCGGACCCCCCACGACTTCAGACTCTATAAAAAGGGCTTGAACAGGATTCGGGGAAATATGTACCAAGGTTTCGCCGTTCGGCAAAAAAAATTACATCAGGCTAGTATTAAAAACGATGGATTAATGTAATTGGACCACGGAAAAAACACCAGAGCGTTGTCTGCTAGCGCGTTGGCATGAAAATCGACTCATTTGACCATGCAGGTCCATGGGGAGAAGTGGAACGATAGTCGAGTCGTGCTCCCGATTTAGAAAGCGTGACAAGAGTCGGAAGGACGGAAAATTACGGAACGGGTTGTCGCGTCGGCGAACTGAAGTAGGATCAATTGCATCGGTAACACGACAGGCAAAATCCATCTACACAGGCTACGACTATAGTTACGCTGATGAACCCAGTGCTAAGTCAGTCATGCACAAATCATTATAGGCCTGAGAAACGAACCAAGAAAATATAGTCACGGTGCTCCGTACCTCACCAGAACTCGCGGCGTTTCTGCTTAATAGCAACAAAGGTAGCCTTCTTCTCTCCCCACTGCTCCCTTACAGTGTCATGCTCCGCCTCCATCTTCCTTGCAAACTCCTTCCGTTTGGGCCTCGGGAGGGCAGCAATCTTGGACACAAAGTTTGGCGTGCATTTGAACAGTTTTGCAAGTTTAGCACGGCTGTGTTTTTCTGGATTCGACAGCCTCAACTTTCGTAGCTGCTCAATGTCTTTATCAGACATTCGTAATGGTGCAGCATTGTAAGCCGAAGGCCGCAAGAAAGGTGGCATGGGTGCATGTTTATTAGATGGTGTCGGAGACTTGAGCAACGGAGAAGCAGGAGCTAAAGTTGTTGAATGAGGTGAAGGTGCTGTTGGGGGAGGTCGGTGAATGAATGTCAAGTTCTCGTCCTTGAGTGTTTTGACAGCAACGTTGGGAGCATTCAGTAATGGATCTGGAAAACGTGCTGCAGGCTTTTCTGCAATGCGAGTAGCATAACTACGAGTGAACCAAAGAGATAACCTTGGCTTTAGCATTTGAGTTGTCCGCAGGAGTGTTCAGCCTGGTCAGTCAAGTCAAGCAAAACATTGACGCTTACATAATATTCCCATCCCTATAGTGGACGCGTTGTCTGCTCCAAAAGTTCATTCAAGTTATGCAGGCAACAAGGTCAATACGACTACCTCGCAAGCTGTCCGTATGCCGCCTGATTCATAATCATCATATCCTTCGTTCATCAGATCCTGCCGGACGGACGACTTCGTTTGGCTTCAGGACAGTTCCAGAGGAGTCGAAGGAATCACTTGTGAAGGGTGTTTTCGACTCTGTCGCGTCCAAGTATGATTTGATGAATGATGCAAGCTCCCTCGGCGTGCACAGGCTGTGGAAAGACTCGTTTGTAGATACTCTCAAACCAGGTCGCAAAGGTCCCCTTCGGTGTATAGACGTTGCAGGAGGAACAGGCGACATTGCTCTCCGTATCTTGGATCATGCAAGGGAGAACTATGCGGACAGAGAGACGACCGTGGACATCGTGGACATCAACGCGCAGATGCTGAAGGAGGGATTCATGAGGTTCAAAAAGACAATGTATCACAATAGTAAGCTTACCGTGCCTGTCATATACTCTACTTCATGACATCTGCCAGCACCTCAGGTTTCATTCCATGAGGCAAATGCACAAGAGCTGACTGCTTCTCAGTTCAAGAACGATTCATACGACCTCTACACGATTGCATTTGGCATCCGTAACTGCACGTCTATCCCCGCTGTGTTAAGCGAGGCTTACCGCGTTCTCAAGCCTGGTGCTACCTTCGCGTGTCTTGAATTCAGCAAGGTTAATAACCCGCTCCTGAGCACGTAAGTGATTTTCATTTCATTACTATCTCATTTTAATTTAGTCTGTAGACTGTACGACCAATACTCATTCACGGTCATCCCACTGCTTGGAACCATTCTAGCTGGTGACCGTAATTCATACCAGTATTTGGTGGAATCTATACGCAAATTCCCAAGCCAGCCCGACTTTGCGCAGATGATCAGAGATGCAGGGTTCTCCACAGGAGGTGATTTTGATGGTGGCGCATGGACAGAACTCTGGGGAGGCATTGCCTCGATACACACAGGAGTGAAGATTTAGCAATAACATAATTTTCATTCTCGTACTACGATTCTAATACCCACCGTCTGTCTCACTTTCTTTTTGTTTTGTGTGAGTTGTTGCAAACAATATTTGTGCAAAGCACGCGAGGTAGCGCCACCAGTGTGACAGCCGCGCCTCAGCGTGCGTACTCACAAGTCACGACAGCTGTCCTTCACAAACGATCATCATGTCATCAACAACAACGTCCGCCAATGTTTCTCATCCAATGCCACCTGCGAGTGCAGATCTTGCAACAACATGGGCTTTTCTTGAGGAGGGAGTGGACCATATCATGACCAAGCTCCAGACTGGCGTCTCATATTCCAAGTACATGAGCCTCTACACTGTGGCCTACAATTATTGCACGTCCTCGCGCATGCATAATACCACTACGGATACTGTTGGTCAGGGAAGCCGAAGTGAGTGTCATTGGAAGCAATGTCTTTCCTGTAGTGATAAGACCACAGTCTGACTCCTCAACAGCAGGGGCTAACCTGATGGGCTCGGATCTGTACAACAATCTCATTCGGTATTTCATCACCCATCTCAAGCTTCTCAAGGATGTAGGTTGACTCCCTTTCCCTGATATCACGCGCGATCAAACATAATTCTTATCCGGCCTATAGCAATCCGATTCCCTTCAAGATGAAGCTCTCCTACGATATTACGCCAGTGAATGGGACAGATACACGACAGGTGCCAACTACATCAATCGACTATTCACGTACCTCAATCGCCACTGGGTGAAGCGAGAAAGGGATGAAGGTCGGAAGGGTGTATATCCTGTATACACCGTGCGCCACCCCTTTTCTTCACGCTGTCACACTGATCCTCATACACACATTACCTCTCATAGCTCGCACTCGTGCAATGGAAATCGAATTTCTTCCTCCATGTCCAGAGCAAGCACACAAAACTTGCTGGTGCCATCCTCCGATTGATCGAGCGTCAAAGAAATGGCGAGACGATCGATCAAGGTCTTGTGAAAAAAGTGGTTGACTCATTCGTTTCGCTTGGTCTTGACGAGTCAGACATCAACAAGGCATCGCTTGATGTCTATAGGGAGCACCTGGAGACACCGTTCCTTGACGCAACGGAGAAGTATTACGAGCAGGAATCTGAGGCATTTCTTGCAGAGAGCAGTGTATCTGACTATCTGAAAAAAGCCGAAGAGCGCCTGAAGGAGGAAGAGGACCGTGTCGACCGATACCTAAACACTGACACACGGAAACAGCTCGTCAGCAAGTGCGAGCATGTGCTGATCCGTCAGCACTCTGACCTTATGTGGGAGAGCTTCCAAAGCCTGCTCGATTTTGACAAAGACGAAGACCTGCAGAGGATGTATGCATTATTATCGCGCATACCCGAAGGCCTGGAGCCTTTGAGAAAGAAATTTGAGGAACATGTGAAGAAGGCCGGTCTGGCTGCTGTTGCGAAACTCTTGGGCGAAGGATCAGAGGGTGCAGATTCGTTGGATCCCAAGGCATACGTTGATGCACTGCTTGAGGTTCATCGCAAGAACTCGGACACCGTCACGAGAAGCTTCAGGGGAGAAGCTGGCTTTGTTGCGTCGCTCGATAAGGCATGCAGAGAGTTTGTCAATCGCAATTCTGCAACGGGTTCGTCGACGACAAAGTCGCCAGAATTACTTGCGAAGCACGCGGATATGTTGCTTCGCAAAAACAACAAGATGGCTGAGGAGGAGGACCTTGAAGGTGCTCTGAACCGCGTGGTAAGTACCTCGCTCGATGGTTTTCACTAATGTCTCATTCTGTATGCAGATGGTACTTTTCAAGTACATCGAGGACAAGGACGTCTTCCAGACGTTCTATGCTACCAAATTATCCAAGCGCCTGATTCACGGCGTATCTGCATCTGACGAGAGCGAGGCGAGCATGATCTCCAAGTTGAAGGAAGCTTGTGGTTTCGAGTACACCAACAAGTTACAGAGAATGTTCACCGGTATGTTCCATACCCACACACCACCTTGCGGCCGCTTATTTTTTTCTGTAGACATGAGTCTCAGTAAAGACCTAACTGATCAGTTCAAGGAGCGAATGGCGAATCACGAGGACATGGACATCAACTTCTCCATCATGGTTCTTGGCACGAACTTCTGGCCGCTCAGCGCACCGAACAACGATTTCATCATTCCTCCTGAAATTCTTGCCTACGTACGATCGCTTCTCCAAGTACTATCAGACGAAGCACTCCGGCCGCAAACTAACATGGTTGTGGAATTACTCGAAGAACGAGCTGAGGACGAACTACCTCAATCAGAAGTACATTTTGATGACCAGTTCTTATCAAATGTCCGTTCTCCTGCAGTATAACAAACATGACACGTTATCACTGGAGGAGTTGATTACTGCTACGGCTATCAGCAAGGACATCTTGTCTCAAGTGCTGACGCTTTTGGTGAAGGCCAAAGTCCTTATCAACGAGGAGACCGATCAATATGATTTGAACCCCAGTATGGCTTACCTTGTTCCGCATTACGTTTGGGGCTAATACACTCTGGTTAGACTTCAAGTCTAAGAAGATCCGTGTCAATTTGAATCAGCCAATCAAGGCTGAGGTGAAGGCGGAGTCCTCGGAGGTACTCAAAACTGTTGATGAGGACCGTAAATATGTGATCCAGGCCACTATTGTTCGAATTATGAAGGCACGCAAGACGATGAAGAACCAGCCTTTGATTCAGGAGGTGATTTCTCAGATTTCACAACGATTCGCCCCCAAGATTCCCGATATCAAGAAGGTAGGATTCCTTGTTTCTTCGCTTAAACGTCCACTTATCTGTGGTCCCAGGCAATTGACACACTATTGGAGAAGGAATATATTGAGCGCGTCGATGGTACGAGAGACACATTTGCATACGTGGCATGATTCTAGCCTTTATCAAGCCAACTCCTTGTATCATACATTCCTTCTTGTAATATCATGCATTGCCCTCAGAAGATCAAATAGATGTTCTCTTCCTTTTGCTTTCTCTTTATATGCTCTCGGGAGCGAAACTCTGAAAGGGTATAGTCTACAATCTGTGATTGATCTAGCTATGAGAACATCAGTACTGGTGGCAGTTGAGTGGAGCTGTGAGGAGTAAGGCGTGTGTGATTACAGGGCAGTGGTTCTCCGTTTCGATACACAGGACGGTGGAGCAGTACCATAGTCCCGAGTGATCTCCTCCTTGGTTCGGCCCAACGTTAGCCTTGACCGGTCTGACCCCTACCTGGGGCCCTCACCGACCTATTCGGGTTCCTTGTTCTTGTGCCGCTGAGCAGAAATCGATTATTCCCACGTATCGCAGTCATGACTTTGCGGGACGCGCTCCTAGCAGGCCTCAACAGCCTACCAGGAACTCGTGAGTTCCATCTTCATGTCTTAGTCTCATCACCCAGAAAGCACGGCAACCTTTTCCCGTTTGCGAATCCAAGACCAAGATCGTACTTGCAAGATATTTTGATTCTGCTTTCCGAGCAAACCACACCAGACTCTTCTTCCGTGTTCGTCTCTGCAATCGAAGCATGCGTGTATAACATCCCTACGACGTCCTGTGCGATATTGTATGTCTCAAAAGTCGACTCTACTGGACAAGCAACTGCACCATCTCCCACCCCAGCTCTTGTTCGTGCACTTCTTCTGTTCTACGCAGACCCTGCCACGCGTCCCATCTCCGCTAACCATCTATGGATCCACATCTTTGCAAGAGCACAGAATCAATATCTATTCCCAAACTCTTCAGAATACCCGAACAAGCGCCCCCTAAGCGACATCAAGCTCTGTGCTTGGTGGAAACGCCAATTCAGCACTGTCGTAGGCGAGTTAGCGTCTCGCGTGGGAGACACATGCCGCACCAAACTGTATTATATTCTACCCGGTCTCAGCGAGTTTGAAGCTCATCACTCGTTGGAGCGGATATACCCATCGACTGGTTCAACGTGCAGTTGGACATACGGTCACCCTTATTCGCAGGACGAAATTCCCCTACCATGTCCTTGTTCTTCGGGAGGCGATTCGCCTCGTCATCTTGGGCAATGTATACCATCATTTGATGATGACCCTAAATCTCGATTTATCGATGAGATTGCGTACACGACGGATGCGGATGGGGTGAGGTCCCCAGAGCGAAAACGCGCAAGAGCGGATACGTTAAAGACGCACGAAGAAGACACATCGTCAGCCGACGCTTCAGAAAAGAAGGAAGGTCGGAGTAAAAAAGAGGACCAGACGCTTAAAGAAGTCAAGAAGGTGTCTGTGGAAGAATTCTGGGAGCGGATGTCGTTCCGACAGGAATGTATTGCAGGGGCGGTCACCGGGTTTTTTGTGATTGCTGTCTCTGGTACCGCCAGACCGGCCTCGACACTCACTACGAGTGAAGTGTCACCACTTGCACCCCAAGCAGGGCAGGTTTCGTCACAGATGAACAAACGTGTGTTGACGTCACTATTGACTGCTCACGAATTTCCATCTGTGGAAAAGGCGGTGTGGTCGACTAAAGTGATTGAAGATACCATACGAGGGTTGTGCGATGGACTCAAGTCGAATCCTCTTCCGCTTGTCATACCAGACAGATCAGGGCGACAAACGCCTGAGCCTGAGCCTATTCGGACCACTCTAGCACCTCCACAGACGCCTCCACCTCGTCTTGTGAATGGAAAGAGACCGATCGTCGACATATCTCCCAATCCATTTCCGGAACCAGTTGCTTCTCTAGAAACATACCACTCGTACATATATGGTACGATTGCGGTCAAAAATCGCCCACCGCCGACGAAGGAACACGGAGAAGCGACAAGCGCTGGTAACGGCAGACCTGCAATAATCACGGTGCTGACGGCGAGGAAGAAGCGGACGAAATCATAAAGAGATGCGCGGTGAATAACGTCTATCAGATTTGAAATTTGCTTCTGGGAGGCTACCGTGTTTACGTCGCTGGTTTGGTTTGGCTAGCTTGTAGGAGGTCGTAGTTGAGCGTCGCGGGTACCCATTTATGGATTGAAATGAGATGTCAACGCCTCGCGTTATACTGATGGAGTGATCGGATCTTGGACCGTGTACCTTCATGGGGGAGGATGGTTACGGGGCATTGAAGCTAAGTAGCAATGGGTCTGATGGTGAATTTGAATTTTGATCTAGGTTTGGGTTCCGTCGAAGATTCTCGACGAGTTCAGGTGCTACGGCGAATGATAAGGAGTTAAAAAGTGAGATTGGTTTTCGGGTCAAATGAATTCGCTTACGGTGTTCTGTAAGTACCGCTGGTTTTAGAAGGCTGGAGGTTATTGTGTCGAAGCAAAGGGTACCCACGAGTGTTACGGTATAATATAAGAATTCAGTCCTACTTATAACCCGTACTAGGCTAGTAACCAACCTAGTAGTAGTAGTACACGTGCAATGGGGCAGCTAGCAGGGTACTTACTACTATCAGCTACGCCCTGGCTATCGGTTGCGAAGGAACGCCCCGAGTGGTTTTTGCACAGTTCACGGCACTTTGAATTCGAATGACTGTGTGATTATAGGTCTCCATAAGCCTCGAGGCCTTAACATCGGATGGCCGAGACATCGGATAAAGATTTACTATCAAGTTGACCGAAAGCCGAGTTGCAGTGTTGTGCATAGTGTTGCACAGGTGATAGATGATGATTACTACTATGATCATCTTTAGCTGTGCTACCATTCGACTTAATTAAAAAGCCTCTATCATGATCTCGCCATTGGAACGGTCTCAATTACGCGAATAAGTCGAATCTTCTTGTGGAAACTAACACCAACCTGCAATTCATTTTTGGTTCATCTCTTCAATTCCAATTGAATTCATCATTCGGTTCCGTTTCAACCACAACGACAACAACGACGACCACAACGACACCGACAACGATTACCACGACCATGTCCGTCAATCACGCTCCACAGTCTCTACCCTCCTTTGCCCAGGCATTTAGCACCTCTTCTCTTAGTTCAATCCCAAATTCTAATAACGCGTTACCACCAATTCAACCAAGAACTCATCATACAATTTCTCCATCAAGGCAACCTAGCGTAGAACAATTAAGAAACTCCAGGAAACGTTCAAGAGAAGACGTAGCAATCCGTCGTGATAGTACAGATGACTCTGGGTATGTCCTTTTCCAATTTTCAATCCCATTCTCAATCAAAATCTTAGCCGTCAGTCTCCCAGAGTCCTTAGAATCAAGGAGGAAGATGACCCTGATGATAGTATCATCGATTCTCCTTCCCCTCCTCAAATCACTTCTCCTACTGTCATTCCACCGTCACCGAAGAAACGACGGGTGACTGTGAGTGGTACCACACTCCCTCCCTCAACCACCCCTACCTCCTCTGAAATTTCACATTCAACCCCAATAACTCCCGTGGTCATATCAATACCAACAGTAGAAGACGTTCACTTGAGGTCTACCATAAAACAACAGCAGCTCATCGAACAGCGCAGACCAAGTTTCGCTGCTCCCCCCGCTCCGTGTCCCATGCTCTCAGCTGCTATTAATAATGGTACTTCTTCTTCTTCTTCCCCCCCGGACGGTTCCTTGGCAGCATCAAAGCTAAGTCTCCCAAGGTTGGGTAGGCGTAGTCCCAATACAGCCACCCGTTCAGGTGGAAATGCTCTTGTATCTGGCAGTCGTGCGACTGTTCAATCACAGCCACTCACCCCTCCTCCTATGATTGTCCCAAGTCAGCAATCGCTCTCTCTCACCGCAAACCAAAATCAACCCGAGGTACCTCTGAAAAGCCCTCCTTCAAACTCCCTACCACCTCCCCCTATTAGTTTCGCACGTCGTCGTGCAGCCCAGTCCGGTGGTCGCAAAAGAAAACCCGCTGATATTGTCATCAGCCCTCGTGGGATTAACTCTTCTGACCCGCTCGCACCTGTCATACAAAGCGCCCCTCCAGTCCCAGAATTCGGTCGGTTCCCCATGGCTTTACCACGACTTCCAACCGCTCTAAGCGGAAACCAGACCACGCGAAGGGTAGCCACCAACGTTCCTCCAACACCTACCCGATTTGGCTTGCAGCACACGATAGGTCCCTCAGTGAGCGCACCCAAGACGGCGACTACAAGATCTCCCCCTGCTATACCGATCGCCAGCTCATTAGTCCCGCCCACACCTCGCGCCCTTCAACATCCCGGTTACTCAGGAGATAAATCTGCATTTCTGGCGCCTTTCGAAGTTTTTTACGACGCGCTCAACGATTCGAAGCAGATGAAAAACTGGCTGTCTGAGCAGCTTCAAAAATCAAACGCGCTCCTCCAGTCTCTGCAGAAGGTAGATGCGGTGGTCGAGGAGTTGGTGGAGAAACGGACGCGGTCGATGCAGGAGGAGATGCAGGGTATGCGTCAGCGCTTGGATTTGTTGGAGGAGGCACTTCGTGCAGTGCGTGCGGATTCGGTGCGGAATCAAAGTACCAGCGGCGGCGGTGTTGGGTATCCGCAGTCAAAGTTCCAACAAAATGGAACAACGAGTTCGGGTTCGGAACCATCCTCGTCGTACAGATTCCCAACCACTAGCACTGAGCAACGCAGACGAGTGTCGCCACTTAGCTGGGGCACCGATAAAGACCGGGACCGCGCCGCGTCTCGTTCTCCTGATACAGACCGTGACCGCAGGATGTCGTCCTCCGTCGCACGATTAGACGCCCCGCGTCTCGACCAGGGCCAGTCGCAATCGCAACCCCAATCCCAAACACCTTATTCGCCATTTGCTCCTTCATCCGGTCGCGGTGGGCCTGTCGCGCCTGCGGCTAATCCAAAAGGCACACCGCCGCTACGATCTCAGGCTGTACCTGGGCCTGAGCGTCCAAATACGCTTCGCCAACCACAAACAGATGGGGCGCGGCCACCGGGTAGGATGTATTACTCGGGCTCGGGGGTGTTCAATGGTGGCGGTGGGAGCGGGAGCGGGGAGACGGCGAGGGGCGAGAGCCATAAAAATGTGGAGGAGCGCTGATTTTTATTCGCGTTCTGTTGATTCCATGCCATGTCAGTGGGGCTTTTCTCGATGTTACGATGCCAATCACTGTTTTGCTCGACGTGCCATGCGTCCCAGCGCTTTCCTCGATGCTATCAAGACACATTCTTTGCTCTCTGCTCTGCCCTATCCGCTCGGACGTTCTGCATGACCGCATTTCAATTGTGCGATGATCTTGGACCATGTTATGTCACTGTTTATCTCATCTCCTGGTTTATCGCATGCACGCGTTCTCATCTAGTTACAGTACAGCCGCTTTCGAGTTCTGTTCTCTTTTCGCATATTTTGTCTAGCCCTTTTCATACTCCGTTTGTTGATGGGCTGATGCGAGTGAGTCATCATGATGGATATCGTATTTCTAGTATTATATCGTATACATGCTCCTCTCCCTCTCCCTCTTCTTATCTTTCTCTTTTTCCATTCTCTTTTTCGTCCTCACTTTTCATCAGGTATCCCGTTATATATGTGTACTTATAGCTATAGTTCTTTTTTTTCGCGGTAGAAATTCAGGTTTACACGTTTAAAAAAAATTTCTGGTTCCCACTGGTTCTTCTCCCGTTCCAAGATTGAAGTTTTTGTTCCGAACAATGTCGAGCGGTGCTCGGCTCTATTGACGTTGTTCTCATTCTTCTGGGCAAACTCTCTTAGATCACTCGGATCGGCAAGATACGCCTGAAGAAGCTTAAGACCGGGTCCAATTCTTGATAGAGAAGTCAAGAAGTCCGCGAATTATGTAGAGGGCAAATTGTTTCCAGTTGCTGACTGATGCGGTTGAACCATAAATTTCGGCAGACATATGTCAGCAACAACACCCGTCGGTCATACGGATCAGGTCATCCGTACTCGATCGAACATGGCGTCAGCCACAGTCCAGACCCCTAGAAAGCAATGCAAGTCGCCTTTAACCGTCTCAGCTCCGTAGCAAGATCACTATCACCCACTCCTCGTAATATGTCTACTGTACACACGTCCAAGCCCAAGCCTTTTGTTCTATACACCGCTGGAACTCCAAACGGACGCAAAGTCAGTGTTTTTCTCGAAGAGCTTAGAGCAGTGTATGGAGAAAAGGTCGATTACGAGTGAGTGGCCCCTCTCCTCCTGGGACGATATCCCGAATTTTGACTCTGACAGCGTCCAGAAAATAAACATCTCACGCAACGACCAAAAAGAGCCCTGGTTCATCAAGTTGAACCCAAACGGGCGAATCCCAGTGCTCGTCGACCGCGCGCGGGAAGATTTCGTGGTGTTTGAGACAGCTGCTATTTTGCTGTATCTCGAACAGCATTATGATCCGGAGAGGAAGCTTGGATTTGACCCTGTGTCGCAGCCGAATGAGTACAGTGAGATGCTTCAGTGGATGTTGTGGGCGGTGAGTATTCCTCTGGCGTCTGTGGGATTTAGTACTGATGACAGGGTCGTTGTAGCATGGAGGCGTTGGTCCCATGCAAGGCCAAGGTCTGTGAATTCGAACTTGGTATTGAAGTTTCGACTTGACGCAGCGCAGCAAATCATTTCAATAGGTTTGCACCCGAGGACATTCCCTATGCAAAGAAGCGTGAGTCGTTTCTGTTGATCAATGTTTTATGTGCGCTTGATGATGACGACACCAGGCTATATCCTGGAAACGAAACGCCTCTATGGCGTGATGGAGATCCGCCTCACAGACCGTGATTATCTCGCTGGGCCCGGCCGGGGCGTATATAGCGCTGCAGATATCAACGTTTTCCCATGGTTGGTCCCATCTTTGTTCGGTTTCCCTTGCGAAGACATCTTTTCTGATGTTCTCACTCTGATTCTATTGTATTCAGGATTAATGTTCATCAATTTGCGGGTATCGAATCTCTCGATGAGTGGCCGAGTCTCAAGGTGGGCGCTCGAACGTGTTTTCTTTCGTGTGCATTGTTTCTAAAGTTTGATCGGTTTAGATGTGGCTTGGTCATATCAATGCGCGTAAAGCTGTTCAAGATGGCCTTGCTATTCCGTAATGGACTCGTAGCACTGAGTTGGAATCTAGCATAAGCGTTTAGTAAATGATTTCTTCTCGCATTTGTATTTTTGCAGTTATTGCAAGATGGTACTTATTGGTTTTGACGTGTCAGCGGGTGAAGACGAGCATCCAGATTCGGCTTTCTCCTCGTTTTATTTGAAGCGCCCAGTACTGTCTCGGCAGTATGGTAACAAGAGCGAGTGAAGAAACGTACAAGAGGTCGCGCTGTGAAAAGCTTGAGTGCTTGGACAACTTCAGTTAACGGCGACGTAATACCACCACACCTGCATGTCAGGGAGGTCATCGGACCGTCTTTCTTGGATCTCACACTACGGGATGTACGCCACGCTAAACAGTGTAAGCATAGGCGGTTTTTGGAAGTCAATTGACTGATCGAACTCCACAGCGTAATCAACTTGACAGAAAGCAAAATACCCGCGGGACAGATGTCATTTCTCTTCATTTGCACAATCGGACTAGTAAACATCCCTGAAACGATTGCATCCAATCCTCGTGACGACTCTTGTAAAAATAGTCAGCATAAACATTCCAGAATGGAAATCACCCGTCGCTTAGCTTGCGAATTTCAATATCTTCGCTAGCCCTGGGTAGTCTCAAGTGCAACGTATGGAATCGCTTTTCAATCGTTTGCATATTTTCTGTTTCTATCACTCATGCTTTTGCCAGACACGAGTTCTGGAGGTGCTTTCCATGCTTATCGAGAGCCAACTTGAAGCTGTATCGCTTGCTCTGTTAGCCCCTCTAACAGCGTTACATTCGTAAGTCGGATGACTCGCACCGGTTTTCTCCACCCTCAGGTATGTTACTTGACAAATTGACTCTACGTTTACATACGTATATCTGATAGCTGACTAGTATATCGACGATGGGCAGGCTATAAATACAGACGAGGTTCCTATAATCAAATCAAGGGAGTTCGCTGGATATCTTCCCTACTAACCCTTCATCAACCCACCAGAATGGATACCTCCAATTCTCATGAAATTATGATAAATGAGACAACGCCTCTGGTACCTGCTAAGGGCTCGAAAAAACCTAGAACGCCCCTTCCAAAGCTTCAGATAGGCATACTCATAACGCTGCAACTTGCGGAACCCATCGCTTCGACATCTATATTCCCGTATATCAATCAGGTATGGTTTCGCAATCACGATGCTTCTCTTCGATGCACACCTTTGATACTGTTTTGCTCTCTTAGCTGATCAGAGAACTTGGAATCACTGGGGGCGATGATGCGGCTGTAGGATATTATGCTGGAATCATTGTAAGTGCCAGGATTACGTCTTGCGAATTGCTTGCGAGAATGGTTCACTCATCGGATGTGATTGGCAGGACTCTCTGTTTTTCGTTGGACAGGCACTGACGGTGTTGAAGTGGGCTCGGTTGTCTGACCGCATTGGGCGCAAGCCGGTATTAGTCATCGGACTATTAGGAACATGCATTTCAATGCTATGTTTCGGCCTTTCGACAAACTTCTGGAGCCTTGTTGTTAGGTATGTCTTCACCCGAAGGAAATATGCATCTCTAACATGGGTTTTCCAGCCGTTGCATGTGCGGTTTTCTGAATGGCAACGTTGTAGTAATGAAGACTATGATGGGAGAATTGACGGACTCCACAAATATGGCCCAGGGATTTGCCCTGATCCCGATTGTCTGGTGCATCGGAGGCTTTGTTGGGTGAGTAAGGTCGTTGACGACGGAGATGGTAAATAATGACATTGACATGTCAGTCCTTTAATGGGAGGAACACTCGCGCGACCGCAGGACCATTGGCCGGCATTGTTCTCCGGTTCGTTCTGGAGAAATTACCCATACTTTTTGCCTTGTGGGGTGGCAGCCTGTCTGCTCGTCCTGGCCCTTGTCATGATGTCAATCTTCTTGGAAGAAGTAAGTTCTGGATCCCTACCATATCGCACACATCACTCACAATCAGTAGACATTATCGACAAAGCGTCGGCCGAAGTTCACTTCAACTAGGGTCAGCGTTTCGAATAGCCCCGACAGAGAATTACTTGCTAAAACTTCGATGGCAAACATGCCCTTGCGATCTCTCCTTACGCGTTCCGTTGTCGTTCCGATTGCAAACTACGCCATGCTCTCCTTCCTTGACGTTTCTTTTAGGGTTCTTTTGCCGCTGTTCTTGTCGACACCTACTTACCTTGGCGGTCTTGGATTTGATCCTGCTACTATTGGCTGGTGGATGGCGTTGATTGGGATCACGGATGGTGTATTTCAGGCATTCTTCTTTGCCAGAATCACCGATTGGATTGGTCCAAAGCGTCTGTTCTCTGCTTCAGTGTGGTGCTACCCACCACTCGTGGCTATGTTTCCGATAATGTCGTGGATTTTACGTGCAAGGGGTGAAGTCGATTATACAATCACGTTTGCCTTGCTTTTCCTCATATGTATAGAAGTCACATGGGATATGGGATATGGTGCGTGTTGCAATGAAACCGTCTCATCATTACAAGCAGCTCACTTCGTTGCAGGAGTTGTTTTCATGTTTATCACAGCCTCTGCTCCCACAAACAATGTCCTTGGCGCTATCAATGGCCTCAGCCAAACCTCTGCGGCAGTAGCTCGTGCCATTGGTCCCGCCTTGGCGACTTCGCTCTTTGCTGTATCGAAGGAACACAACCTTCTAGGAGGAAATGCAGTTTTTGTCGTCTTGATCATGTTGTCCGCTGGATTGAGATGGCTGGCATCTCGGTTGCCGGATGAAATACAAGATAGGGATGAGTGACAGGTGATTCACGAAAGGAGTCGATGTCGGATTGCAGTGTTGTAGGATTCGTGTTCATCGCTCTGCAGGTATTTGTTGATGAGTTGTTAGATATCAAGGTAGGCAGATGTCCGAGCATGTTACAATTTGATCTTTGGATCTTGTTTCAAGCATTTGATTGAGTGATATTATTGAAGTTCACTAAGGCGAGCTGTTCAGCGTGAGACTGGTGCATTGCGCAAGCTTCACGTCACGGTGTTTGACGTGACGTGACTGTCGAACAACTTGAAGTCATGCGTTGATGTCGATCGACTCGGAGGACATGAGGGAGTATAGACATTTTTTGACCAGTTCTTGTGACTTTCTCAAAAGATGCAGACTCACCAGCAATCCTTGCCAGACAAATACTCTCATTCGACTATTTTTGTGGGCTTCGCTCGCATACATAGTCAAGATCTGCTGCAGTCGTCGAATGTTGACCATGTGTTCCCTGACCAGTAGTAAGGAACCAGAGTCAATCAGGGACAAGGTGTTATGCATCTGCCTGGCGGACGGCGCATAATACGACCCCCTCCGGAATGTGGGATGTAAAGATCGGAGACAACCCTGGAGATGTCTGCGTGGGTGGTGATCTATTCACTCGATGGTTCAAATACGACGCTCTGGTGCTTCTCGCTTGCCCAATCTGACACCCTTCTCACATTTTGTGTATGTCTTCTCCTTTGATCATATCCTTCCTCACCCCATCTGGCCAGATCATCTGCTACTGCACCTGCATAAGTCGACATGGTTTGAGCGAAAAGCAATGTATATATAGAGTGATAGGGTACCGTCTATCACCGACTTTCATAATCGACTACTTCCTCGTGATCATAAGGACGGTTGTATTATATACGGTTTGCTAACGCGCTGCTGGAATCATGGCTTCTGCAGGTGATGGTCACCTTGCTATCCTCGCTGGTATTTCTCTTTCCCTTGCCGCCATCACGGCACTTAAACGGTTCATCAAGAAGCAACATAATAACCCTTCTCTTCCTCCTGGACCAGTGCCGCTCCCACTGTTAGGGAACGTCTTATCTGTTGACGCTCAAGAGCCTTGGTTGACTTATACGAAATGGGGTGCTGCGTATGGTACGTGGACAGATAGTATAAGAAATATGTACTGCAAATCATTATATCAGGGGACTTGGTCTTCGTGCGAATTCTTGGCCAGGAACTGGTCGTGGTCAATTCCGAGCATATTGCAGAAGCCTTATTGGACAAGCGTTCTCGGATTTACTCCGATCGACCATACCTAGCCACACTCGAGCCGTGCGTTCTTTCAGTATTCTTCTACTTAACTAGTCCGAGGTTCTTGCAGATATGGCTTGTCGGTCAACTTTGCATTCATAGGTTATGGGGATGAATGGCGTCTCTGCCGACGACTCTTCCACCAAACTTTCCGCCCTGAGTCTGCAGTAAAATTTCGTCCAATGCAGATCAGGCGGGCTCGTGAGATAGTCGTCAACCTAGTCGATGAGCCTCAACGTTATCATGACCACTTCGCAACGTCAGTAAATGATCTTTACAAATTGAATGATTATTCACCTGTTGACAGATTCTCGTTATCTGTTGTGATGTCAGCTGTATATGGCTACGATATCAGCGCTCGTGATGATCCTCTGGTGCAGATTGTGGTAAAGGCACTGAATCCGGGCACGGCCGTGTTAACCCCAGAGAGAGCGTTGATACTTAAGACCTTCCCCTTCTGTGAGCTCAACTCTCCTAGATGAGAAAGCGCTAACGTGACATGCATTTTTTTTGGAATGTAGTACTAAGGTTACCTGACTGGTGCTGGGGATCCTCGATCAAGCGTAGTGCTCGAGCTTCGACCGAGCGCGTGAATGAAATGGCCGACTTGCCATTTCAATATGTGCAGCAGCACATGGTGGGTTATCTATTCTTATCTTGGTTCCAGGCATTGATTCGACCCTTACCAAGACCGACAGCTCGTTCCTCGCTCAATCTTCAATGGTTGCAGAAAATTTGCGACGGATGGAGACGCAAGAGGAGGCATCCAAACCTGCATTCGAGAATGCCTTGAAGAAAGCAGCCACTAGTGCTATTTCGGGTAAGTAAGCTTCCTCAGAAGCAACGCTGTGCTCTCGACATATGCCTATATCACACAGCTTCATATGAGACGGTAAATGGGTAACTTCATCGTGTTGTTCGCTCTTTATTCTCGTTACAGACTTCGGCAGTTTTGATGGTTTTTGTTTTGGCCATGGTATTATATCCAGACGTTCAGAAACGCGCGCAAGCGGAAATCGACTCAGTGGTTGGAAGAGAACGGCTGCCGACGTTCGAGGACAAGCATCACTACCCTACATTGATGCAGTTGTGCGAGAGACTTTCCGATGGCAGCCCGTTTCACCTCTTGGTATTCTTTCCCGCCAAGTGATCTGGCCTATGCTGAAGATAATCTCATAGGCGTATCACACGCTACTTCGAGTGATGACGTATATGAAGGCTATTTCATTCCAAAAGGTCCGCTGTTTTTGGCCCATCGACACAAGAATCATTTATAATATCATGCATCAGGCGCAATCATCACGCACAACACATGGTCCGATATGTTCCTCCCAGCTTTCGTGATACTGACTCGATTGTAGGGGCATTACACGGAATGAAAAGCGGTACCCAGACGCATCTCGTTTTATACCAGAGAGGTTCATCGATGTTAATGGCGCGTTGACAGATGATGACCCCGCACAATACCTTTTCGGCTTTGGTCGGCGTGTATGTCCAGGTTCCTTAATCCTAGAAAATATTTGTTGACATGTAGACTTTAATCAGGGCGATATACCGCTGATGCCTCCGCGTGGTCTGCCATTGTGACTATGTTGGCCGCATTGGATATTTCTTCTGCCAAAGATGACCAGGGCAAAGTGATCAGTTTTACTCCCACGTTCATCACGGGACTGGTTCGGTACTCGACTTCCTCGTCTTTCGTCTTGTCACTAACACTTTTGTCATTTTAGCTATCCTGCTATCTTCCCTTGCAGAATTTCAGCACGGTCCCACATTTATTCAGACCTTGTAAACGGTTGGAGAACTGCCGAGTTTTGAAAGAAGGGGTGATGACAGTTTGGCTCTTCCGTGGTCTGATTGGGGCAAATCGATCAAGTATGTGCTTCTAATGTATCACAGTCAGCAGTCGTGATGAACAGAAATGTATCATATGATCTTCAGTTATCCGGCGTGTCTAGGTGTTATGTTAAGGGCCATGTGACGTTTCAGTGTGCCAGAATACTATAGCGCACTGCATGATCTGTATTACATAGTTCATATGCGTGTCCATGACATGCCCCGATTCCTAGTCGAATGACTGCCAGCAACAACCGTATCATCCTACGTCCTGTGACGTCAGCATCTTGCCAGCGAAAGCGCGCAGAGGGGTTGGGAGCAGAATTCGGAGCAGCGGTATCAGAGAGCGCTGGCAGCACCGTGACCGTGGGACTCGGAGTTGAGCTTGTCAGAGGGCTAACAGGGCACTGCAAAACCCATAACCTATCAGTGAACGGTTCGGCGAGACTGGTGACGGCCTGTTACGATTCCGAAATAGATCGGGTCTCTGTCTTGTTATCATTTGACTGACGTGCCCGGTGAACTTCCTCACAAAGTACAAGCTGAGTATTTTCTTTGTATTGTCCTCGATACTTATCTTGACACTCGCGCCCACAGCGTCCTCCTTCCCTTTCCGACCATCTCCCACAAAGACCATGTAAGGAGGGCAGTGAAAATAACACATGACGCCTTTCTCCGACAAAGTTTGCAACCTTTATTAAATAACGTCAGTCAAATCGTAACAGGTCACAACAGCACCCGGTGAGCACCTGGCCTTCCCAATAAGTAGCTTTACTAATACAGGACAAATACGTGTGCTGTCAATTACTAGAATAGTCGTTTGCGCTAAAACCTCGACACCAGCCATAAACCTTGCCCCAAATCCTGCGCGTCCTTAGATATATCTACATACAAGCCTCGGGGAAACTAGGTAGGTTCTGTTCCGTGTACATTCCGCCCTGATGCTAATCCGGCTGTTCCCGTTTTGTCGCTAAACCATCCGCTCCGCTATACGAACTGTTCCCACGACTTTCCTTCCCCTCCCTCATCGTTGTCTGTGATGTCGAGGCTGTCAGCAACACGTAGGCTTGGTTCTGGACATCACCCTTGACAAAATCAACGGTTCTGGTGCTCATCTCCCTTTGTTTGTCGCCCCTCGTCAGTGACTCTGGTGTTGGCAAGGTACGTTGCTGCCGCGTCTACCAAGTACCTACTAACTACTGACCTGATGTCATTCAACAGTCTTGCCTCCTCCTCTGTTTCGCAGACGACACGCACACTGAGAGTTATAGCACTGTTTGGTGTTAGGTACGTTGCTGCCGCTCCTACCAACAGCAAGTACCTACTGACTGTCGTTCAACAGTCTCTCCTCCTCCTCCGTTTCACAGACGACATGCACACCGAGAGTTATATAGCACTGTTTGGTGTTAGGTACGTTGCTTCCGTTCCTACCAATACCAAGTACCTACTAACTACTAACTGTTGTTCAACAGTCTCTCCTCCTCCGTTTTGCAGACAACATGCACACCGAGAGTTATATAGCACTGTTTGGTGTCAGGTACGTTGCTTCCATTCCTACCAATACCAGTACCTACTAACTGTTGTTCAACAGTCTCTCCTCCTCCTCCATTTTGCAGACGACACACCAGACGACACGCACACTGAGAGTTATATAGCATTGTTCAGTGTTAGGTACGTTGCTGCCATGTCTACTAATACTAACTACATACTGACTGACGTTCAACAGTCTCGCCTCCTCCTCCGTTTCACAGACAACACGTGCACTGAGAGTTATGACACTGTTCGGTGTTAGGTACGTTGCTACCACATCTATTAATACTAACTACATACTGACTGTCGTTCAACAGTCTCGCCTCCTCCTCCGTTTCGCAGATGACACGTACACTGAGAGTTATATAGTATTGTTATGTGTTAGGTACGTTGCTACCATATCTATTAATACTAACTACGTACTGACTGTCGTTCAACAGTCTCGCCTCCTCCTCCGTTTCGCAGACGACATGTACACTGAGAGTTATGGCACTGTTCGGTGTTAGGTACATTGACACACCTTCTACCTCGCTTTAGGAACATCCCCCTTTTGTTAATTTCATAATTTTATCCGGCAGGGCTCGCCTCATCGCTAAACCTTCCGCCCTGCTATATGGAACTGTTTCCACAGCCTTCCCTCCTCCCTCATCGCCGTCTCACATGTTCAGGCCATCGGCCTTCTCGCAAAATTGTACTCTAAGGCAAGATGGTCTTGCAATATCATACTGGTGAACAACTTGGATTGAATGGGAACAGCAGCGAAGTGAGAAGGAGTTTGTAGCAATATATGTATTCGAAGTGTTTGCAATATCATACTGGTGAACTACTTGGATTGATGATCAACTGCAGTGAAGTGAAAAGGAGTTTGTAGCAAATGGAAGGCATACTTGGAGTCTTCAAAAGACGGTCTCAGACAAGTTAGAAAAAATCAGGCATGGGCATTTGGCCATAGATAGCTGCTAAAGCTCTATCGAAATCAAAGTTTGTAAGCGAGGGATCAAGATTATCTGTATGTGTCATGATATCAGGTACTGGCAGAAGCAGTTGATGTTGAAGGAGCCGAAGTAGATGCAGAGGGAGACAAAGACAAAGGTGCCGAAGTAGACATAGAGGGCTGGGCAGAAGGAGGCGAAGGCGAAGGTGCCGAAGTAGACATAGAGGGCTGGACAGAAGGAGGTGAAGGCGAAGGTGCTGAAGTAGACACAGAGGGTTGGACAGAAGAGGGCGAAGGCGCTGAGGGTGAAGGCACCGAAGTGCCTGTGTGTGGTGCATTGACCTCTTCATCACTACTCTCAATAGTGTCTAGGCTTTTGTATATCTTCTTGCGACGAGGAATGGAGGGTTCCTCCGTTGGTTGGACGCGTTTTTTCCCCTTGTCTGAGCGAGGCCAACGGGAGGACTCAACAATCTCTCCAGTATTGACCTTCTCATTGTGCTCTCGAAGGAGCTGCTGGTATTCGTCCTCGTCGAGGAGTCTCCATGAAATCAGCTTGTTCTTCCACATGTCATGGAGCATCTGCAGCTCGGGAAGGGAAGTAGACGCTTCGCTAAGATTTTTGAATGGGATGTGGGCGGGCCAACCTTCACAGATGACGTGATAACGTTGGACAATGTTGCGCCAGTAGTTTGCCCACTGCATCGTTGCCTTGGGTACCTTAGTGATTTCCTCTAAAGCAAATATTAGCATGATCTGACGGATTTGAATTTTTTTTAAATGTACGAAGTGCGCGATTGATTTGTTGTCTTATTAATGCCCGCTTCTCCGAACAGCAGTCCTTGTAATTGTGGGCGGCACCTGCCCAAATAATTCAAGTATGGTACAATGAAATAGCAATACCGATGAACTCACCTCGCATGCCTTGGATAGCAAAACCTTCCATCTTGCTGACGAGGTGCTGGTCATCAATATTCATTACCGATGCCATGAAATCATTGACACCTTCGGTGGCAAATATTATACCACGTAGTGGGATGTCAGTAGAGCCCCGCACCGTGTAAAGAATTGTTTCAGCGCCGGTGCGACACTTAAGACTATTCAACTAAGTTTACATCAGCTGCTGCATAGACTCAATAGCACAAAAAAGCACCTCGTTCTCGATAGCCTTCAGTGTTTGGGTGACATCGTTAATCTTGGACTTCGTTGAGATTCTAATACCTGTGGACTTGAGAAGCTTATTCTCCTCGTATTCTTCGACAAGACGGTCTTTTTCATCCTGAGAGAGCTCGCAATATTCGTCGGAGTAGTTATGTAGAAGATCTTGCAGTACACCTTTTCCGGAGCTAGTTTGAGCTAATTATGCTGTCAGTACTCGAACAAAGCAAGAAATGCATCATACCATTTTCATCCTTCGCCTCCTGATTTTTCTTCCAGCAAAATGCATTCCAGGCATTTGACTTCGAACGCTTGAAGCGCAGCCCTCCACGGCCCATATACAAGTCGTTTGCGACACGTCGGATACTCTTGTGGTGAGACGAGGCGATTGTCTTCACCGTTTCGTCGATATGGAGCCAAGCATCATTGAGTGCTGTCTTGAAACCCTTAGATTTTTGGCGACGCTGGGAGGTGAGAAGAGCTCTAGCTTCCTTGCTGAGGATGACCTTCGGACGACACCGAGATAAACCTTGCGAACAGCGACTCGTTGTTGTGTTATTAGGCATGACTTCACACTGAAAACAAAACAATTCATTGTAAGCCACTTTATATACTTCAGAGAGCCTGAGAAACGAAACAACGACAAGAAATAACGACATGAAAGTCAATCAACAAACTAACGCAGATCTACATTAACGGTTGAAGATCAAAGCACCCTAGAACTTTGGGTGCGCGCACTTACGAAAAGATGAGTGCCATGATCCGAGTGCGCACACTTACGAAAGGACAAGGGGTGCCATGATCTAGAAAAGTAAAACCAGACTAAAAAAACAGAGCGCGCAAATTAAGACAAGTGTGCCAAGCACCTTGAGAATCACAGATAGTAGCATCGAAGTCTGGGGGCGTGCATACAATTCAGTTTCATTAAATAAATACTTTGGTCTTCATACCTTTTTGATGCTGCCTAATGGAGCGCCATTCAGGTCTGCATGGAGGGCCTTCATCAAATTAGCTGCCTGTTCATAAGTGAGATCCCATTTGGGGGACCTTAAGACTACTTCCCACTGGCTACTGCGCACGGTAACAATGAGGTCACGAAGTTTCAAGATCGCTTCATCACTGATTTTGAAGCGATCAAGCATAGCATCAGTATTCGGACCAATGCTAAGCAGGGGAGCGAAAACCTTAGGGTCTGGTACAGCATTTGTCCCAGACAACAAGAAAGCGTCAGCATTTTGACGCTGTTTTATCTTGGGGCTTCCGACAGAGCCTGAAGAAGCCAAGGCCATGGCGTGCTTCACGGCCGCTGACTTTGGGTTTGGTGGCATGCGTGACTTGGACGAAGCAGCAATAACGAAGTCGTGCTGAAACTGTTTGGGAGAGCGAGCTGAACACTGAATTCGAGCCCCAGTAGGGCACAATGGTGCAGGTAATGATGGGGATCCAGTTGGGTTCACTGGAGTTGCAGGATCTGTAGTAGTTGAATATGTCAGAAGCAGATAAAAAACGAATCCGAACATACATCGGTTGGGAGGTGTGATATTTTCTATACTGCAACGCTCCATAAAATGCCTAAGATGGGGCATTGCAAACTCCTCGCAGAACGCCTGGACGAGAACAGAGACGTCTCCACCAATTTGATCGGGCGCCTCACGCAGTTCTTGTGGAGTGATGTAAAGGTCCACCGCAATACGATCGGGAGTGGTGGTTTCTGTGAAATGAGATCCTGGGCAGCAAATGAGAAGAGACAACCCGCCATCAAGACGGTCTTGAGTAGCAAGCTGGGATGGTGCTAAGTCAGGTTTAGCATAAGATACTCATGGTACATACTGCATCAAACACGTCTTCAAGAGCCATCTCGACAAATTCTTCCTGACTCAAGCTCTGCCTCTCCGTGGACGATGGGATCTTGTTGAAGGCTATATAAGCAGGATGAAGACCACCAAGTGTTTTTGTGTGGTAGTGTGTGCCGTCAAGATGTGACTCGTTTCTAAGTAGTGCACGAGCAGCTGCTTGACGCTCTCCATTGCTGAACCCTAGCGCAAAGTTCGAGTTGGAGTAGAGAGCCGCTAGTCCAGCAGGCGTGAAACGTGGGACAATAGCTCAACTCATTCGAGCTTGAATTATCTGTAGAGCGCGGCTTTGAACGAGTAGTCGTACACATTGTTAGTGGTTGAGGTGGGATGCGAAGACTGAGTAAAGCATTACTTGTAGCAGTGCCTATCTTGATATTTAGTAAAGTCAAAAGCGGCTATCTTAATGAAAGTCGTCTACATACGACATACCTGAATCTGGATACACAACCCCAGAATATATATATGCTGTGTCCGTCGTTTCAGTTCATAGACTGATGCTGATAGAGGTGAAGGTGGTTCATAGACTGGTGCTGATAGAGGTAAGGTGAAATTGAGGATTTCGCTGCCGGTCTGGTTCATAGACTGATGCTGATAGAGGTGAAGGTGGTTCATAGACTGATGCTGATAGAGGGAAGGTGAAACTGAGAATTTCGCTGCCGGTCTGTTCATAGACTGATGCTGATAGAGGTGAAGGTGAACCTGAGGATTTTGCTGTCGGTCTGGTTCATAGACTGATGCTGATAGAGGTGAAGGTGGTTCATAGACTGATGCTGATAGAGGTGAAGGTGATTTCGCTGTCGTTCTGGTTCATAGACTGATGCTGATAGAGGTGAAAGTGTAATTGTATTTGAAACATTGAGTCTACTAATCTACAATGGTTGATATATAATCTACAATGGCCTGGGTAGTCTGTATCTGTTCCTTGTGCTCCATAAGGTCCGTAGCATGCCCCAAAGCGATGTCATCGACAATATCGTGATCTGGCGAGTGATCAATTTGACGTCATAAATATATTCAACTGAAAGACAAACGTACCAGTGGCAGATTGATAACGGTTCGAACACTCTACTGCACCAGACTCGTTCTCTACCAAGGAGCCAATCCGTCGTCCATGACCTCGAATACCTGAGAATCCAGGTTGCGCCTCAATCTCATCTAGTCAGAATAAATGTACAGAATTGACTGTGGAACGCAGTTTCCAGCGCTTCTGCAGCTCCTGACCCAGCGGAGGATTTGAGTCAAGGAGTTTATTGATGGTTGTAGACATCTGTGCGCCCTCATCATGAATGGCAGTCCGCAGACGACGAACTTCAATGTTGAGATGCTCAACTTCTTCATACGCACGGCAAAGCTTGAAGAATTTGACTGAGCCTTCTCGATGTGTAGGCTTGGCCCAGTCAAGTTCATGCATGTCAGTGCGTGAATATCGGAGAACATCAAACTCGCCCAGGAAACTATAATCGGCTATGTCCTTCCATGATAAGCGTGGTTGGGCAGGATTAAGGGCAGTAGCTTGCACATTATACTTGTTGATGGCATTCCGAATTGCATCTGAACGTCTCTGCAACGCCTTTCCGATCTGTTGCTGTAATTTGTACCCTGCTAATGGTGATCAGCTTCCGTCGAACACAACACCATTTGCTTACCCGTTCCTGAAAGTGAGAGTTTAGATAGTTTGAATAATCGCATGACCACGAGACACTCTAATTCATCGAGAGCTAGACGATACTTCTGGAGCGATACCTCATCCTTGTACTTGTTGTATTCATCGCCTCTGACTGTCCATCGCTCTTCGATTGTGAGCTGACTCTCGATATGGGCAGTGAAAGCTTCAGCATGCTGGAGTTTAGTGTAAGCAGTGTCGACACGAATTCAGGCTTGACTAAGAATGGTGTTAATTTGACGTATGTCACCAACAGGGACACTTGTCAGTGCCTGATTGGCAGCCTCTCGAGCCTTGTTCCATTCTGACCTTTTATGAACTAAGTGAGGGAGGAAGAACACACAATGTCAAACTCAAACTCACTGCCGTTCATTTAGGTCATCAAGAACCTGAATATAGCGAATTTGGAGTCGGTCGCTGAGGGGCTGTTCTTGAAGAGATTCAAGATACGATCTTTCCTCGGTATGGAACCGAGCAAAGTCGGCATCAGTCAGGTTGAGAGCTTGTTTAACGGCCGACAGTTCGGCAGAGAGAGTGTGTATGAGGGTTAGTGCTTCTTTGTAATGGTTGCATAAAAAGATGCCTGTCAATGCTATTAGTTGATCAAGTATTGGCTGTGTACGACATGAGATGTACTTAACGCTGCATATTTATCTTGGTCCCAGAAGGCGAAATGCTCCTCGATCGTTTGATGGCGATGAAACGGAGAGGCGTGTCTAGTGCTTCGTGCAAGATCGTTTGAAGATGAGAATACATGCTCACATCCCTCACCCTCGGTCAGCCCAGTCCCTTTGATATACATTGGGTGCCAATCTAATTGGCACCTTCGGTTATGCGCATGACCATGGAACGCGCCAACCATCATGCGCAAATTAAGGCTTTGGGCGAGGGGACCAAGACTGCTGTTAGCTAGAGTCTTCGTGAACGCACAACCAATATCATAAGCGCATCCACCATTCACACCAAAAACGGACAGCAACTGGTTCATCAGAGCCAAGGGATATTTTGCCCTAAGGTTCAATTTAGCAAAATGCATAGATAATGAAACTAGAACCTACAGTTCACCACTGCACACCATATCGCAGGCGAGAAGTATAAATCTGTGCCGGCATGCCGCAATGAAAATACCAGACTCGTCGAAAACAGAAAACATTTTCTTCTGCTGCTCGGGTCCAGCATTTCGCCACTGCTCTGTACAATTGAAGCTAGTCTCAGATTCCACTGGCACAGTTACCAAGTCTTCCCAGTCATCTTGTCGATCTAGACTTGATTTGCTCGGCTACCTTAGTTAGCTTACAGTTGCGACACACATGTATTATTGACATACCGCTGATCTTCGAACTTCATCCTTGAAGGCATCAACAGTCATTTGATCAATCCAGTAGTCAGAACGAGGCTTGCGAGAATCCTCCCGTGCAGTAAGGCCATAAGTAGAGGATGCCCATCTTTTGAGGCTGTTGTTGCCATCAATAGAGGCAAGCCACTTGAATGCTAACGGCAGCTCGTCTTCGAGTTGATAAGAACAGCATGGACATGCGTTGAGGAGACGCCAATTGGGCGTGTTGCGATGAAGTGCTCCATTCAGGCGGCGGTCCACACGATTTAAAATCTCAAGGTATATGTCATAGGTGTCGGAGAATTGGGAATTAAGATAAGGTCGATACGGCATCTATAATACAATGTTGAATCTGAGGTAAACAATGACACATACGAAGGCCTACATCATGGAGATGGCACAGCGCCTTGCACTGTGCCTGAATACTAAATCGAGGACAAGTTCAGTGGCATTGACGATAATTTGCGAGGGTACGGATTGAAATTGCCACTGTCGGAAATAGAGGAGCACACCCCATATAACCGTGGTAAATGAGTGTCTCATTGGGATAGCGATGCAATGGTTGAGGTTGCAATGACATCCGTTCACGACCTGCAAAAGGTCAGGCAAGTACAACAGAACAAAATAGACGTACCAAACAGATCAATGAGATCGATACTGGTCAGCGACGGGCAATCACTACCTGCAACGGCCGGGGCAGTATTTGCAATGCAGGGCATTCCATCACCACGATCATGTACACGGTAGTCCAGATAGGCATCAACCAATCAGTCAATTTGGCTGTGCCACTGCTCCATTTGGAGTTCAATGCGATCATGGCGTGTGCGAGAATCAACATAGCGACTGAAAATGAAAGTTAACAGAAAAAATCATTGTGTACTGACGATACTCACACGTGCGACAAGGAAGCTGTTACGTCGACTGTAGGTCGGCGTATGCGAACTAGGATGGGTCTTCTCAGCGACGACTCGAGTGAGTCTACTGAAGCTGAGCGTGGTCTGGCCTTGACGGAATGTCAAGGATTCCTCCAGCGATCTCGGTAAGACGGCGCTCATCGAGATGCAGGGCTAGCGGATACGTGCTAAGTCGTATGGGGGCGACTTAGAAGTGCGGTCTCACACAAGGAAGCTGGTAGGCTTAGATGAGCAAGTTCTGGGGATGAACCTAGTAGATTAAAGTAAAGTCTAAGTACAATAATCTGTGTCTACTTAGAGGGAAGTACTACAAGTATTCTAGCTCAGTCTATAATCAATAGTATATCGTGAATCTATGATAGCTAGACATGAGGGTCAGATAAGATACATGAGGCTTAACCTCTGATCAAGCATGCTGCGCCAAGGGCAGCTGCGCATAGGTACAGGAAGCGCCAAGTGCGCTCCGGATCTTCATGAAGCGACATGCGTTATGCATGCGCTGATCTAGGGTGTCCATGAGGCGTACAGCCTCTATGGATCAGGTACATGGCCTTCTAGGCCAGGGGCGGGGTCATAGCGCCAGGGGGCGGGGTCATAGCGGTCCAGACCGCTGTCTTTCTAGGCGCAGGCGGCGCACCGCCGCGCGGGGAGTTTAGCAGAGCGGGGGCAGGCGTAGGGAGAGCTGGGGCTCTAGTAGGTGTTACAGATCCCTGTAACAGAAGCGACTTGCTCTGATAGACCTTCAAAAGCTTCATATTCGCCACCCTCGTGGCTGATGTCAAAGCCTTCTTCACCTGGTGGAGCTGTGTAGGGTTCATCATCAATGTCTACGCCAACATCATTGATCATCTTCTCAACTGCCTTGCGATCAACAGATGACATTTCTAACACTAGTAAGGATTTGTGCCTGGTACAAAAGTCATGAAGGCTGACCTGATATTTCATGCCTTCTTTTGGTTCGAACTTCCTCGATCCGTTGACTTTGCTGACCGGCTGTTAAGACCTTCGACTGACGAGTGAGACCACGGTAGCCATGCTTAATGGCAGCTTTTGACAGGCCAGCAACCTTTCAAGAGGAGGTTCCACGGTAAGCCATCCAGCAAATGTATGATAGAAGAGGGCTGACGGCCTGAATATGTGAGATGGCGATGAGGGAGGAGGAGGGAAGGCTGTGGGAACAGTTCCGTATAGCAGCGCAGAAGATTTAGCGACGAGGCGAGCCCTGCCGGATAAAATTAACAAATGGGGGATGTTGGTAAAGCGAGGTAGAAGGTGTGTCAATGAGGTGCGTCCTGCCGAATAAGACTATGAGTGAAGTAAGGCAGAAGGTGTGTCAACGTACCTAACACCGAACAGTGTCATAACTCTCAGTGTACGTGTTGTCTGCGAAACGGAGGAGGAGGCGAGACTGTTGAACGTCAGTCAGTATGTAGTTAGTATTAGTAGACATGGCAGCAACGTACCTAACACTGAACAATGCTATATAACTCTCAGTGTGCGTGTCGTCTGGTGTGTCGTCTGCAAAATGGAGGAGGAGGAGAGACTGTTGAACAACAGTTAGTAGGTACTGGTATTGGTAGGAATGGAAGCAACGTACCTGACACCAAACAGTGCTATATAACTCTCGGTGTGCATGTTGTCTGCGAAACGGAGGAGGAGAGACTGTTGAACAACAGTTAGTAGTTAGTAGGTACTTGGTATTGGTAGGAACGGAAGCAACGTACCTAACACCAAACAGTGCTATATAACTCTCGGTGTGCATGTCGTCTGTGAAATGGAGGAGGAGGAGAGACTGTTGAACGACAGTCAGTAGGTACTTGCTGTTGGTAGGAGCGGCAGCAACGTACCTAACACCAAACAGTGCTATAACTCTCGGTGTGCGTGTCGTCTGCGAAACAGAGGAGGAGGCAAGACTGTTGAATGACATCAGGTCAGTAGTTAGTAGGTACTTGGTAGACGCGGCAGCAACGTACCTTGCCAACACCAGAGTCACTGACGAGGGGCGACAAACAAAGGGAGATGAGCACCAGAACCGTTGATTTTGTCAAGGGTGATGTCCAGAACCAAGCCTACGTGTTGCTGACAGCCTCGACATCACAGACAACGATGAGGGAGGGGAAGGAAAGTCGTGGGAACAGTTCGTATAGCGGAGCGGATGGTTTAGCGACAAAACGGGAACAGCCAGATTAGCATCAGGGCGGAATGTACACGGAACAGAACCTACCTAGTTTCCCCGAGGCTTGTATGTAGATATATCTAAGGACGCGCAGGATTTGGGGCAAGGTTTATGGCTGGTGTCGAGGTTTTAGCGCAAACGACTATTCTAGTAATTGACAGCACACGTATTTGTCCTGTATTAGTAAAGCTACTTATTGGGAAGGCCAGGTGCCGGTGAGGACATCGTGTTCTTTCCTGTGCATTACGATACAAAGTAATATATCTAACATACATCAGGAAAACCCCAACTTACTTAATCTTGCTTAATCAACTTAGCCACATTTGTTTCCTCTCTCATGCATCATCTACCTAGTAAATTTTGTATTTTTTTAGTGTAACCTGTAACAAAATATGTATGCTAATATGACTGAACAACTTTTTCCTGAATATGTCAAATTTGAATTTCTAGCAAAGTAGGCTAAGTCACTAAGTACAACTTGAGTCTGTTTAAGGCAAGCTTAAGTAAGTTGGGGTTTTCCTGATGTAACGTCATGTATAGGAAAGAGATTAAGATTTCGGCTTACAAAATATAGGTATGTCGGTTGGCTCACCGAAATTTACTGATCGCGAGTCAAGACATTGCAGCCGATCTCCCGCTCTTTGCTCTGGACAATGTCCACTGACGCTTTCATACCTTCTTTCGCATATGAGCGAGCAAAGAGGTTGCTTATGTATGTATTGCAGCGCAAGCCGCCGAGCTGACAGGTAAGATCCAGTTAGTTCAATTATTACTTGACAGTTTCTTGACCGTAACCCGAGTTTAACTAGCCCCCGCCGGCCGCCACCACTGTCCCTGTGGCGAGGACTAGTGTGAGATTCGCCTCATCACCAAGCGTCCAAACTAAACAAAGCGAAGATGCGAAAGTATATGAGGAATCCACGAAGTGCAGGGGCGGTAGTATCGAACGGTACTGGACGACGGAACCTGCACAAAATCCAGATCACCAGGATGGATACTTCCAATTCTCATGAAATCATGGCAAACGAGACAACGCCTCTGGTATCTGCCAAGAGCTCGAAAAAACCTAAAACGCCCCTTCCAAAACTTCAGATAGGCATACTTATGTCGCTACTCCTTGCGGAACCCATCGCTTCGACATCTATATTCCCGTACATTAATCAGGTATGGTTTCGCAATCACGATACTTCTTTTCGATGTACATCTCTGATGCTGTTTTTCTTTCTTAGCTGATCAGAGAACTCGGCATCACTGGGGGCGATGACGCGGCTGTAGGATATTATGCTGGAATCATTGTAGGTGTTAGGATTATGACTTGCGAAGGGCATGCAAGAGTGGTTCGCTCATCGAATGTGATTGGCAGGAATCTCTTTTTTTTGTCGCGCAGGCACTGACGGTGCTGAGGTGGAGTAGGCTGTCTGACCGCATCGGGCGCAAGCCGGTGTTGGTAATTGGACTCTCGGGTGCTTGCATTTCGATACTGTGCTTCGGCCTCTCAACGACATTCTGGAGTCTTGTCATTAGGTGTGTCTTCAGCTAAAGGAGATGTGCGATGCTGATATGCTAAGCCGCTGCTTGTGCGGTCTTCTGAATGGCAATGTAGGAGTTATGAAGACTATGATGGGAGAGTTGACGGACTCTACAAATATGGCTCAGGCATTTGCCTTGTTTCCAATTACCTGGTGCATTGGAAGCTTTATCGGATTTCAAGTGATGAACCACTGCATCAACAATCCATGGATACGCCCTTGCGATCTCTGCTCACGCCTTGCGTTGTTATTCCGATTGCAAACTACACTCTGCTTGCCTTGCTTGACATTTCTTTCATTGTTCTTTTGCCACTGTTGTTTTCGACACCTACTCATCTTGGCGGTCTTGGATTTGATCCTGCTACTATTGGCTGGTGGATGGCGTTGTTTGGGATCACGAATGGTATCTTTCAAGCATTATTCTTCGCTAGGATCGTCGATTGCATTGGTCCGAAGCGTTTATTCTGTGTATCAGTGTCGTGCTACGCACCACTCATGGCTATGTTTCCGATAATGTCGTGGATTGTACGCGCAAGGGGAGAAGTCGATCAAGCAATCACGTTTGCCTTGATTTTCCTTATAGGTATACAAGTTGCATGGGATATGGCATTTGGTGCGTGTTGTAATGAGACCTTCTCGTCATTACAAGTAACTCACTTAATTGCAGGGGCTATTTTCATGGTTATTACAGCCTCTGCTCCTACAAGCAATGTCCTTGGCCCCATCAATGGCCTCGGCCAAACCTCTGCATCGGTAGCTCGTGTCGTTGGTCCCACCTTGGCGACTTCGCTCTTTGCTGCGTCGAAGGAATACAACCTTCTAGGAGGAAATGCAGTTTTTGTCGTCTTAATTATGTTGGGTGGTGGATTGAGATGGCTGGCATCCCACTTGCGAGATGAAGTACAGGACAAGGATGAGTGACAGGTGACTCACAAGATTGTGACTTAGCTCACCCCGCCCTCATCTTGATGACGCCCGCCGCCCAGGGATCCGCATGGGTATAGGTCCAGCATCGTCTTAGCTCAGGAGTCAACGACACCACTTGGTAGGTTGGGCTGGTCCGAGCGTTAGCTCGGGGTGGGACGCAAGCAGGTGGAGCCGCTGGGAGGGCGGGAAACCTGCTCACTGATCGTGTCACTGACTCTTTGACAATCTAAGCTGAGTTACGAGTTTAATATTATTGACATGGGATGGACTTTGGCTGATTAAGTAACAAGTAACGGGAAAAATTACGAGGGAGTGGTGGGTGGGACTAAAGAAGGTCTGGTATATGTGCGAACGGTACGACGAACTCGACGTTGGTGAAGGAAAGGAAACGACTATCGCAAGCGAACAACGCTACCGCTCAGCTGGACGTTTGGTGCCGGGTTATGCCGGCAAGCTACATTACCCGGCACCTGCGCTATAACCCGCGCGGGTCACGGGTACGGGTATGGGTTGAAGTGTTGTTTAATCTGGCTGGGCGGCTGGCACACCCCCAGACAGGACCCAGAGTAGACTCTACGTAGACTAGACCTAGAGTTTCCATTTCCCGGACGTCCTCGGAGAAGTTCGGTGTGTGAATTATGGCAGGTGAGCTCTATTGATATGTAGTAAACTATCTAGACGGGACCCCCACCCTCGAAACGTCCGCTGGGTAGGAGCGTGGGTGGCTCCGGCTTTCCATAAAAAAGTGATGTGGTTGAGGAGCTACAATGAAAATGTTATATTAATACCGGGAATGATAGCATGTCATTCAGATTTAACTAGCCGCCATCACTGTTCCTGTGACTAGTGTGAGATCCGCCCCATCAACCAACCATCCAAACCAAACAAGGCGAAAATGCCAAAGTATATATATGCCATGGAGTGTGGCAGGGGTATCAAACGGTACTGGACGACGGAACCTGCACAGAATCCAGATCACCAGGATGGATACTTCCAATTCTCATGAAATCATGGAAAACGAGACAACGCCTCTGGTACCTACCAAGAGCTCGAAAAAACTTAAAACGCCCCTTCCAAAACTTCAGATAGGCATACTTATATCGCTGCACCTCGCAGAACCCATCGCCTCGACATCTATATTCCCGTACATCAATCAGGTATGGTTTCGCAATCATGATACTTCTTTTCGATGTACATCTTTGATACTATTTTTCTTTCTTAGCTGATCAGTGAACTCGGAATCACTGGGGGCGACGATGCAGCTGTAGGATATTATGCTGGAATCATTGTAGGTGCCAGAATTATGACTTAAGAAGTGCATGGTTCGCTCATCGGATGTTATTGGCAGGGATCTCTGTTTTTTGCTGCGCAAGCACTGACGGTACTGAGGTGGGGTAGGCTGTCTGACCGCATTGGGCGCAAGCCGGTGTTGGTGATTGGACTCTCAGGTGCTTGCATTTCGATACTGTGCTTCGGCCTTTCAACCACATTCTGGAGTCTTGTCATTAGGTGTGTCTTCCGTTGAAGGAGATGTGTGATGCTGATATGCTAGGTTTACCTAGCCGCTGCTTGTGTGGTCTTCTAAATGGCAATGTGGGGGTTATGAAGACTATGATGGGGGAATTGACGGACTCTACAAATATGGCTCAGGCATTTGCCTTGTTTCCAATTGTCTGGTCCATTGGAGGTTTTATCGGGTAAGCGGAGCAATTGATTATGGAGATAGCAAATAATGAATTGGCATGTCAGTCCTTTAATAGGCGGAACTCTGGCGCGACCGCAAGATCGTTGGCCTGCATTATTCGCCAATGCCTTTTGGGAAAAGTTTCCATACTTTCTGCCATGCGCGGTGGCAGCCTGCTTGTTCGTCCTAGCCGTTTTGGTGATGTCAATCCTCTTAGAAGAAGTAGGTTCCACATACCTGTCTTATCGTACACGTTGCTCACGATCGACAGACATTACCGGCAAGGCGTCGGCCAAAGTCGACATTGGCCATGCTCGGTATTTCAAGTCATGAATCACTGCCTCAACAATCCACGGCATATACGCCCTTGCGCACTCTGCTCACGCCTTCCGTTGTTATTCCGATTGCAAACTACGCCCTGCTTGCCTTGCTTGACATTTCTTTCCGTGCTCTTTTGCCACTGTTGTTTTCGACGCCTACCCGTCTTGGCGGTCTTGGATTTGATCCTGCTACTATTGGCTGGTGGATGGCATTGTTTGGGATCACGAGTGGTATCTTTCAAGCATTATTCTTCGCTAGGATCATCGATTGGATTGGTCCGAAGCGTGTATTCCGTATCTCAGTGTCGTGCTACGTACCACTCATGGCTATATTTCCGATAATGTCGTGGATTGTACGCGCAAGGGGAGAAGTCGATCATGCAATCACGTTTGCCTTGCTTTGCCTTACAGGTATGCAACTCGCATGGAATATGGCATTTGGTGTGTATTGTAATGAAACCGTCTGTCATTACAAGTAACTCACTTAATTGCAGGGGCTATTTTCATGTTTATCACAGCCTCTGCTCCCACAAACAATGTCCTCGGGGCCATCAATGGCCTCGGCCAAACCTCTGCGTCGGTAGCTCGTATCGCTGGTCCCACTTTGGCGACTTCGCTCTTTGCTTTATCGAAGGAGCACAATCTTCTAGGAGGAAATGCAGTTTTTGTCGTCTTCATTGTGTTGGCCGGTGGATTGAGATGGCTAGCATCCCAGTTGCCAGATGAAGTACGAGACAGGGATGAGTAATGGGTGACTCGCAAGAAGGATCGATATATCTGATTGGACTGTGTTTATCACTATGTAGTCATTTATTTGATTTAGAGATATCATATTGAAGTTCACCAAGGTGAGCTATTCACATCAGGAAAACCCTCCTGTGAATAAGTACATGCCTTTTATACATTTATTGAATCTTAGCGCACAATTATTGTCATCTCTTTTGCATCATCTTAAGTTCGTCTCGTGCGCTTGTTTCAAAATGCAAATCAGGTTTCAATCCCACGTTCTGGTTCGGTACTTGACTTCCTCGTCTTTCCTCTTATCACTAACAGGTTTGTTGTTTCAGCTATCCTGCGATCTTCCCTTGCATTATTCCAGCACGGTTCCACATTCATTCAGACCTTGTAAAAGGTTGGTGAACTGCCGAGTTTTGAAAGAAGGGGTGATGACAGTTTCCCTCCGTGGTCTGATCGGGGAATTAGATGAGTAATATGCTTCTAGTGTATAACAGTCATGATGAACAGAAATGTATCATGTGGTCTTCAGTCACCCGGTGTGTCTCGCTGCTGTATCAAGGGTTCTGCGACGTTTCGGTGACACGCGGCGTGCTAGAACATGGCGCACTCCGTCATCTGTCTCACGAAGCCCGCCGGCTCCTAGTATAATCCAAAAATACTGTCCGACATATTGAAACACAAGCTTTCAATTTTGGCGTAACGGTTAAGCGGACAACAGTTTTGACTACTTACAGACATGTGCTCGGCTCCCAATCGAACAATCGTATCATCCCACCTCGTGTGACGTCCACTCATAGGCTACAGCTCATCCGAAATAAGGCATGTGCCGCAGTACAGGTTCCTGCTCCTAGCAAGCACCCGGTAGTATGATCACTAGAAACAAGGTAAGGAATACAAGCCTATATTTCTGAAGTGCAGGAGCGGCAGTATCAAACAGCCGGCACCACGCGACGGAGCCGCAGATACCACACATTTTCGCATTGGGCCGTATGTTGATCTTGAGACATCCGGAGATACCACTGTCCATGTGGCGAGTACTGATGCCAGGCTCAGAGATTCCGCTCATCACAAGGCGTCCAAACCAGTGCCTATAGATAAGGATGCGAAAGTATAAGAGGGATCCATGACATGCAGAAACAGTAGTATCAAACGTTGCTGGACGACAGCGCAGAGCCCAGATCACCAGCATGGACTCTACTTCCAATTCTCATGAAATCATAGCAAACGAGACAACGCCTCTGGTAGTACCTGCAAAGGACTCGAAGAAAACCAAAACACCCCTTCCAAAGCTTCAAATAGGCATACTTATAACGTTGCAACTTGCGGAACCCATCGCCTCGACATCTATATTCCCGTACATCAATCAGGTATGGTTTCGCAATCACGATACTTCTCTTCGATGTACACCTTTGATATTGTTCCGCTCTCTTAGCTGATCGGGGAACTTGGAATCACTGGGGGTGATGACGCGGCTGTAGGATATTATGCTGGAATCATTGTAGGTGCCAGAATTATGCCTTACGAAGTGCATGGTTCGCTCATCGGATGTGATTGGCAGGAATCTCTGTTTTTTGTCGCGCAGGCACTGACGGTGCTGAAGTGGAGTAGGCTGTCTGACCGCATTGGGCGCAGGCCAGTGTTGGTAATTGGACTCTCGGGTGCTTGCATTTCGATACTGTGCTTCGGCCTCTCAACGACATTCTGGAGTCTTGTCATTAGGTGTGTCTTCAGCTAAAGGAGATGTACGATGCTGACATGCTAGGTTTACTTAGCCGCTGCTTGTGTGGTTTTCTAAATGGCAATGTGGGGGTTATGAAGACGATGATGGGGGAATTGACGGACTCTACAAATATGGCTCAGGCATTCGCCTTGATCCCGATCGTCTGGTCCATTGGAGGCTTTATTGGGTAAGTGGAGTCGTCGACTATGGAATTGCCGAATGACCCAATCGACGTTGTTAGTCCTTTGATAGGAGGAACACTTGCACGACCGCAAGATCATTGGCCTGCATTATTCGCGGGTCCGTTTTGGAGAAATTATCCATACTTTCTCCCCTGTGCAGTGGCCGCCTGTCTGCTCGTCCTGGCCCTTGTTATGATGTTAATGTTCTTAGAAGAAGTTCTACATGCCTGCCATATCGCACACATCACTCACAATCAGTAGACATTATCGACAAAGCGTTGGCCGAAGTTCACTTCAACTAGGGTCAGCGTTTCAAGTAGCCCCGACAGAGAATCTCTCGTTAAAAACTCGATGGCAAACATGCCCTTGCGATCCCTCCTTACGCCTTCCGTTGTCATTCCGATTGCAAACTATGCCATGGTCGCCCTCCTCGACGTTTCCTTCAGGGTTCTTATGCCGCTGTTCTTCTCGACACCTACTTACCTTGGCGGTCTTGGATTTGATCCTGCTGTTATTGGCTCGTGGCTGGCGTTGTTTGGGATCATTGATGGTGCCTTTCAGGGCTTATTTTTCGCCAGAATCGTTGATTGGATTGGTCCGAAGCGTTTATTCTGCGTCTCAGTGTCGTGCTACGCACCACTCATGGCTATGTTTCCAATAATGTCGTGGATTGTACGTGCAAGAGGGGAAGTCGATTATGCAATCACGTTTGCCTTGCTTTTCCATCTAGTTATGATAGTCATATGGCATACGACATATGGTGCGTGTTGCAATGAAACCGTCTCGTCATTACAAGTAACTCACCTCGCTGCAGGGACTATTTATATGTTCATCACAGCCTCTGCTCCTACAAACAATGTCCTTGGCGCTATCAATGGCCTCAGTCAAACTTCTGCGGCGGTAGCTCGTGCCATTGGTCCTGCCTTGGCGACTTCGCTCTTTGCTGTATCGAAGGAACACAACCTTCTAGGAGGAAATGCAGTTTTTGTCGTCTTGATTGTGTTGGCCGGTGGATTGAGATGGCTAGCGTCCCAGTTACCGGATGAAGTACAAGACAGGGATGAGTAAGAGGTGACTCACAAGGAGATTTGATATCGAATTGAATTATCACAGGATTTGTACACTCTGCAAGTATTTATTGATGAGTTGCTGGATATCAATGTATATAGGCATCTGAACGTATTAAAATTTGATGATTGGATCTTGTTTAAAGCATTTGATTTAGAAATATAGTATTGAAAGTGAGAAAGCCGTCGTACTGCGACTAATTCTTATTTGTGATCGTTTGAAGTGCGAAGCAACATTATGTAGATTAGGCCTATGCTAATCGAATAATTGATTATCTGTTTGCGGTCGACAGGACTGCGGGCTGTGTGGGTAAGTGGTTGTATTACGGGCGTGCTTGGAGTGCTACGCTGGATGTTCGGAATAAAGCGCTGGCTTCAGAGGAATAACAATAACTGCCTTAGATGAAATATTATGCCTAATCCGTGATAGTGAACACACAGACAGCAACAGCAGTCATGTTATATACTGGGTACGGGATACACGATACGATAGAACGGGAGGGGGAGCTTCACCCCCATGAAGACAAGTACCAGAAGCACACTAATGCTGGGCATCATCAGGCCCCACGTTCCGATGCTTGCGCTGCCTAAGGATCAAAATTCAGGACATGTTCATAGAGCAAAGAAGCTACGTACATGATGCTACCAATGCGCGGAAATTTCTACCGCTTGGAGTCTGCAAATGCTGCAGACCTGTTGAGCATAGGAAAGCGCTTCTAAAACGACTTTCGAGGTGAGGTCAGCACTGGAAGCTGAAGCAACAGGTATTTGTGGACGAGAGGAGCCTTGAGGGGAAAAATATGGGGAAGAGGATGCAGCTGCATCACGCGAGTTGATGGTTTCTGGAGTCCGTCGGAAAGCTCGACTGGAGGAGGGGAGTGGACTGGAGTAGTGATTTCATGATTAGAATGACTTTGAGGGGGCAGAGATGGGGAAGGTGAGCTAGCAGCATCACGCGAGCCTACAGGCTCTGTCGCAAACTCAGTTCCATCCGGTAGCTCGTCCGAGGCTGGTGTATAGGAGAGTCAAAGAGAACCAGAGCTTGCTGACGGCTTCAATAAAACTTGCATCAGATATACTGGTGTATAGATAAGATACAAATTCATTACCTGATGGATGTAGCTCGTGATGTTGGATGATGGGGACATGAATGAGGGCGATACGGCATTCGTTATGATTGTGCCAATTACAGGCAGAAATGAGACGACAACTGTCTGGAGACCAGACTATTGAGCATACTGCGTCACCATGGGAAAGTGGTTGTGTTTGTTGCTTGCCAGTCGCTGCATTCCAGATGCGAACCGTCTGGTCATATGACCCACTCGCAATCTTGCTTCCATTAGGAGAATAGGCCACTGTCCACTGATGATCATCGATGTCGAATACCAGTTCCTCTGTCTTCGCATCCCAGATCTTTAGTGTGCCGTCGGACAATGTGGGGGCGAATCTTTTCTCATCAGGTGAGAATTGTATGCAATTGACATCGTCTGTGTGATGTGACAGACATCTGATGATCTCCTTCGTATCTGCGTCCCATATGATTATCCTGCCATCTCTCGCCCCACTCACAATTCTCCTTCCATCCATCGATACAGCCAGTCCAAGAGTCACACTAGTGTGCCACTCCAACGAATGTTCCTGTTCTCCTGTTTCCAGATCCCAAATCCGAACCGTCTCGTCGAAGGATGTGCTTATGACTTTGAGTTGATTCCTTGAGAACAACACTTCTCCAACCCAACCAGTGTGGCCTCTGAGCGATCTGATTGGGGATAGGGATGGTTCCATGTGAGCGTTGGCAGAGTGGATAGGGATATGTGAGTTAAATCAGTCGAGCGAAAGTAGATCGGCGTTATGCAAAAGCAATCAGATGGTAGTACATAGAAAGTTTAAGGACCGGTAAGGATCGAGCCGAACGAGCAGGCGCCCATTGCACATACTTAGAGCGCCTATGGTGTCAAATAAATACGATTGTGTGTATCGTGCATCACCTGTATCGGACTACCATCAGAAAGTCCAGGAACATCGACAATTCAACTTGCATAACAGGGTATACCTTTCTAGTCTGGGCCCGGGATAGCTCTTGCACCAACAACTTCCGACACACTTAGTAATAGTCTCCGAGTCACAAATGTGCTCTGCGGCATGTCTTAAATGAAGCGTCAACAAAAGAGTTCAACTGATAAGAAATCGACGCACACTGACAGCAACCACGCACTGCTTCTCGTAGCACCAACTAATGTTTATGCCTTCCATGATGTGCCGAAGGAGAGGCTAATAAAGAGAGAGAGCGGAATGATCAACCGGGTAGTTGTCATCCGAGTCAATGACGATAGCAAGATTCAAATGACTTTGATCCTCAGTCAAGACTCAACGGGTTCCTATGGCGGTAGGTACATTAATATATCACAGAGAGAAGACGCCTCGAACATCCATAATGCAGGGGTTGTGTTGCTTTATTTGGTAAAACCCTGTTATTTGTTGTCGTGCACCGTGACAAGTACTCAGGCGGGCTTCGAGAGTAGTTGCGAATGATTAGCAGCCTGACATATCACGACATTCATGCTATGTAATACAATAATCAATATGCTACATGTCCTCCCTCAAAACTCACGCATTCTCCAGCAGCGCCGGATCAAAATACACTCTCCGCACCCATCTCCTCCGCCTTGTCATCCCTAACGTCTTCCAACACTCAAGAGGTATACGACGCGGATCTGCCCATACGTCATTCGTGTACACCCAACCGTCTGATCATCGATCGTAATAAGAATCAGTGCATCATAGGATAGCGACACATAAAACTTACTGTCGTCCGCCCCAAAGATAGGAACATCACTCCCAGAAGCAGAACAAGAATTAGAACCAGAGGCAGAGACCCAGCTCCCCAGTGCGTCCGGTCTCCACCCCTCAGTCTCTACGAATGCCCAGCCTGGTGCGAGCGAGAACGTGAGGTTGCTGCTGGGGTCACAGGGAGTTAGTAGCGATTTCAAACTAAGTGATAAACGCCAGTCCGTTAAGAAAACACGCACCTCACTTCCCCACCCACTCCACTCCAACCGTCCCTCGCCCTTGTCCACGGCGCACGATCCGTAGGCCTCAAATTTGTCTTGCTCCACGTCCCAGCTCCCGCACCAAGCAATGCACTTCCGGACCCATCTCCAACATCAAACTCCGACCCCACAGCATCAAGGTCATCCTGTGTGCCGAACGAGGAGGATAAAGAAGGACCCGGAGCCCACCTCTCATTCTCCCACAGCTCCACCTCCCGCATCTCAGCACCCCAATGTTTGTCGTCGAGCCTATCGTCATCGATCCAGCGGCGGAGCTTGAGCTTCAATGAGGCGTATTTGTAACTTGTTACTCCCGTCAATGTAGCGCTCGCGTTGCCTCCCTTTACGATGCCCCCGTTTACAGCAGCTTTGAGCAGTGGTATTATTCGTGTTTGCGTCACTGGGTGCGTCCATACAAATGGGAATATACCTAGGACAAAGAATAGTAGGCGGAGGGGGATTAGTGGCAGTACCGGCAGCAAAAAGAGGAAAGAGAGCAGGGTAAGCGTTAGGATAAGAGAGGTATGGGTTGATCGATGGACGAGGTGGGGAGTAAGTGGTGAGATGATGTCGTAGCCATCACAGCTAAGAAGGGGGATTAGAAAACAAAGATACAAATGCATAATTGATACTCACAACGCGCCCATGAGGTTTTGAATTGCTTGAAGGTTAGCTTGCCAGTCAACGCTCCCCTCTGAGGGAGGTGGCGCGACTGGAGCTGGTGGGTTCTTCGTTGTTACAGATTCGGATGGCGAAGGAGTGGGATATGTAGAGAGTATTATAGAGGCTAGTATAGCATGCGGTACGAGGAGTACCATGCGAGGAAAGTAGCCTGCAAACACATATAAGGCTCAGTATCATAGAAAATAATGACACGTACACAAGAACGCGTAAATAGCAATCCAGACGCCAGTATACTTCCACCCGCATCTCCACATAAGGACCTCCTCCACTCGATCCTGCAACCAAAACACGGGCCCTACTCTGGCTACGAACCTCCTGAAATTGACGGTGGTAATTGGAATGCTGAGAGGATCTCTGGTGCTCAGCAGCGTTGTGCTGTATTTGCGAGGGCTAGCGGAGGTAGGGATAGCTGGGAAAGATGTGTTAAGGAGAAGGGTAGATAGTGACTTTGTCGGGCTGAAGGTGGTGCTGGCCGCAGCTGCAGCTGCGGCAGGAGTGGGCGAACATGGTAATGATGTGCTGATTTTTGTGAATGGACGAACAGGATTAGAGGCTATACATGATTGCAAACGAATCACATCTGGTGGAATTTCTACATAGTCGAACGTTGACATTGCGAACAACTGAGTTTTGCTGTCACGGTTGTTTAAGAAGATATTGACGCCCCATCAAACCCTCCATTTACATAATTGACTTGTCCCATAAGGAATAACAGTTCTCCACTAAAGTATGCGACTATCCATGTGATCCAACGAATGAAAAATTGGTTTGCCGTCGACACCGGCATGTCATCCGTAGATGACCGATGATCTGTAACGATCGTCATTATTGAGGTCTAGGTCCAGACATAATCGACAAGATCCGCGCGAAATTCGAACGAGCTAATGAAGAAATATCAATATTCGCATTAACAAGTACACGTTAGATATAAAAAAGCTTCCAATAACCAGTACGTATCGATATCACATACACCACCTTCACGATGTGCCCTCCGGGGGCCTGACATGTAAAATAACTCGAGGCAGCTTCTTCGCACTGAGAGAGTCCACAGTCTCACTCTCGGACACAGATGTAGAAGTCAACGAACTACTGGACACAGGCGCTGATATCTGCGTATCCTTGTCAGGCTTACTGGCCACCTCAGGTGTGCTGCTGTTTCTCGAGAGCTTCTTGCGCTCGCGTAGGGCCCTCGATTTCGGTGGGGCCCAATTCCGTGAAGGTTGTGGCGGGGTTCGGTAGACATCGAGATGGGAGAGCAGCTCTAAGGTACGTGCAAGCCATGGCTCGAGATCGGTGTTTCCTTGTGAAGGGTGCCCAAATTTACGGGCCTTGGTGGCCTTCTCGAGCTACAAATTTTGAGTACAGTACGGGGAAACGCATTGCAAGCTGAAATACCTTGATGAGGTTTTCCAAGTCCCACCACCTCTCATCCACTCGGACGGTATCCCCAACGAGTCCACATATATGTGCCATTGCCCCGCTACTCAGCGCACGATCGCTGTACCCGCCTTCGAGCACGCTCACGACACGTCCACGAGCATAAATATCGGCAAAAGTGCACGTGTCGAGAGTAAATTGATGATAGAAACTTGTAGGAACCTTTCGGTTATGACGAGACATACTTGGATACTCGTGTTCACCAGCATCGAAACCACAACTGTTTCAACCGTTTACCATGTGGGCTTGGACACGAGATATAATAAACGCACCTGATGAAGAACATGACATCATCACCTGGTCCGCCGGTACCGTCAAGGAATTGCGATGCTCTCCTCAGCAGCGTCGAATATTGTTCCTTGTAGAGAACTTCCCAAAAGTGTGTTTCGGAGCTGTAAGTTTGCAAATGTATATTCTCGATGTATTGTCCATGTGATCCGTGTATCGAGGTTGATGCGGCTTGAACAAAGGATACCTTACCGTCCTATAATATGCTGCTGAATCACTGACAACGAACGAATGACAGAAGCATTCCCTACCTCGCACGGGAAAGAGAGAATGTCGTGTATTGAACCGTAGAATATCTGTGGACCACGAGTTCGAGAAGGTGCATTGGTTTCAGAAGGCGACTGTTCAGATTCGAGCGTCTGTCGGTATGTCTCTTCATTGATTTGCCATACTATTGACTGCGTGCCATTCCCTATCAGAACGTTTAGGTAGAAAGTTCCTGGCAAATGACCTTGAACTTGCCATGGTGCAAATCAATGTCCAGTATAACAACACGTTGAATTCCGTGTTTGAGGTGTGCTACGAAGTGCATGAGTAAATGGGTACTAATTGAGGTTGGCGAAGCTCACCGTGAGCTGCACCAATCGCCACATTGTTTACAAAACAGAATCCAGACGGGGTATCTTCACCACAATGATGGCCAGGGGGTCTCACTGCTACAAATGCTCGTTGAGGGCCGGTAGCTACGACAGAAGGATTTATGCTAGTAGACGCAATGACGGCGTCGACTGCTTGGCACACGGCGCCAATGGCGCCTTGGATAGCATCGATAGATGAGGGACATACTACAAGAATGCGAAAATCAGCCTCATGGCTAAATTCCCCAGACAGACACGTACGATACAGGTCGAGTGGTGGCATCCCCTCCGGCATTTCAGACCCCTTCTTGGTGATATTATCTTCGCTATCCCGAGCCCATGCCTTCAAAGTCTGAAGATACACATCCCCATCTATATCTCCATGGACGTATTTCACCGCAGCGTTATCCAAGAGATCGACAGTAGCCGTACTTCTTGTGACAGAAATACTTCGAGCTCGAATAAGTCCAGCATCGGATGTAGCGATATCCATCTTTCCGAGTGCAGCAGCCAGCTCATCCTCTACGGAAACATTTGCATCTGAAGGCTTCAAAGCACCTTCAGCCTCTTCGATACGCGCTATGGCGGCAGCGAGTCCAATCTTGACGGCGCGTAGACGTTCGGGTCGCTCCACGATGCTCGAGGTATCTCGTGAGCGGATGAATCGGTGCTTTAGACAGTCATCTTGAAGGTATATTTTGACGTATATTGGAGCTTTTGATGAAGATGGGCGGGAATCTGACTCGGAAGAGACCTGATGTAAAGGTAATGGGGTGCCGATTCCTAGTGGGTCCGAGTCAGCTTCAGACCTAGCTTCTATCTTGATAGTTGAATCGGCCGCTTGTGTGCTCATGCTTTTCGTGACTGTGAAGTGCTGTGAGATCCTGCATATGTATAGTGACGAGAGAATATGTACTTAGTACACTAGATAGATGATCAAGAGCTCATGGAGCGCGTTATTTACTTCTGTTTACATTGGTGGGTATAGGTGTTAATCGCTCCCAATCGTCCGTCGTGGGCCTGGTCACCCTAGCTACAACACCCCAAAGTGTACTCCGATTTAACCCGGAAAACAACTTCCGTCGTGACTTGAAACTGGCAACAGACTCATATAAATAATTTGATTGCCAGGGGCCAGTGTGTCGGGTCGCACTGACTTTGTAAGTTTGAGTTGATTAACTTTCTTGCTAAACACAGTGATGCGGCTTGCTTGTTCAAATGTTCAACGTCGACGTTCAATTGTTATGTTTCCATGTATGCCTGCCAAGAACCGCTGACTCGGGTCACCGCTCGCGCTGTAAGTGCAACAGTTGCTGCAAAGAGTTGGTCATCCGGTATCTCTGCATCAGCCAGCAAGATGATGGCGAGTGCTTCGAGAGACGTTATAGCGTGAGGGTAGCATGAACATGTTTCAACAACGTCTGGGTCGACGAAAAGACGTGCGTGTGTCGCGTATCTGATTTCCAGCTCCGCTATGTACGTGAAAGTTTATTTTATTTGAATTGCATAAGCTTTTGCACGAACTGTCACGAAATAAAAAAATAAAATTGTTATTCTCGTATGTCGCTGGCAAAACCAATCGATAATGCGCAGGCTATAAGTACAGCCGCTCAGGACTCAGATTAATATTCACCGTCCGTGTCGTCTTCGTTCAGAATCAAGGTGGCTTGATTTCGCTGCCAGCGTTTTTGTCTCTGGACTTTCGCTGAATTTTCAGCCCTGAGTTTCCAAGATGGACACCTCCCATTCTCGTATACCGAACGAGACCACCCCTCTGGTCCCTGCAGAGGCCCCAAAGCCTAAAACTCCACTTCCAAAACTCCAGTTGGGCATAGTTTTGACGATACAATTCGCGGAAGCCATCGCTTCCACCTCTATATTCCCGTACATCAATCAGGTATGGCTTCTGGCTTACAACACTTCGCTTTTGATATGCATTTTTTTATGATTTCTCATTCTCTCAGCTTATCAGAGAACTTGGGATCACGAGGGGTGACGATGCAGCTGTGGGGTATTATGCTGGAATCATTGTAGGTCCTAGGATTGCGACTTGCAAGAATGATTTTCTCATAGTCCACTGTCGGACATGCTCAACAGGAATCTCTGTTTTTCGTCACACAGGCACTAACAGTACTGAGGTGGAGTAGATTGTCTGATCGTATTGGGCGCAAGCCGGTGTTGGTGATTGGACTCTTAGGTGCTTGCATTTCGAGCCTGTGTTTCGGCCTCTCAACGACCTTCTGGAGTCTTGTCATTAGGTGTGTCCTCAATTGAAAGGAGGATACGTCGTCCTGATGCGGTTTTTCCAGCCGCTGTGTGTGCGGTGTTCTAAATGGCAACATTGGAGTTATGAAGACCATGATGGGAGAATTGACGGACTCCACAAATATGGCTCAGGCGTTTTCCTTGATCCCGATCATCTGGAGCCTTGGAAACTTTCTTGGGCAAGTGAACTAGTTAAATATGGGATGTTGATCCTAATGAAATTGCATATTAGTCCTTTAATGGGTGGAACGCTTGCGCGACCGCAAGATCATTGGCCCGTATTATTTGCCAATTCATTCTGGGGAAATTACCCATACTTTCTGCCTTGCGCAGTGGCAGCCTGTGTGCTCTTTGTGGCCTTTTTCGCAATGGTATTCTTCTTAGAAGAAGTAGGTTCTACATATCTGTCGCATCGCACACGTTACTCACGATCAGCAGACATTATCAACAAAGCGTCGACCCAAGTTGTCATCAGCCACGCTCGGCGATTCGAGTGGTGAATCACTGCCTCAACAATCCATGGCAGATGTCTCTTTACGATCTCTACTCACACCTACTGTTGTCATTCCAATTGCCAACTATACCGTATTTGCTTTCCTTGACATTTCTCGCAGGGCTCTCGTGCCGCTGTTCTTTTCGACACCTACCTATCTTGGTGGTCTTGGATTTGATCCTTCATCCATTGGCTCATGGCTAGCGTTGTTCGGGATCATGGATGGTGTCCTTCAGGCATTGCTCTTCGCCAAACTTGTCGATCGGCTTGGTCCAAAGCGTCTATTCAGTGTGTCAGTATCGTCCTACGCATTGCTCATGGTTGTGTTGCCGATAATGTCCTGGCTTGTACGCGCAAGGGGTGGAGTTGATCATGCAGTCACGTTTGCTTTACTTTGCCAACTAGTTTTGTCAGCCATATGTAGCATGGGACTTGGTGCGTGTTGCAGTGACATCAACTTGTCGTTACAAATTTACCTCAGTACAGGGACTCTCTTAATGTTTATGAGAGCTTCTGCCCCTACGAAGAATACGCTTGGCGCCATCAATGGTCTTGGCCAAACATCCGCGTCGGTAGCTCGTGCCATTGGGCCTGCCTTGGCGACCTCGCTATTTGCTGCATCAAAGGAACACAATCTTCTCGGAGGAAACGCAGTATTCGGCATCTTATTTATGATGGCTATTGCGCAGAGCTGGTTGGGGTCGCAGCTGCCAGATAAACTACAAGACAGGGATGAATGAAAGGTCAGCATCTATGAATATTTGAAATCAGTTCAGCGTGTATGAGTGCCTCGAAGCTTTAATAGAGTTGTAAGAAATACTTACGTTAATTCTGATACAGCAAACTATAATGTTTGACAAAACCACCATTCAAGTGCACCTGATAAGTACTGCCGGATCTCGTGAGATTCGTTAAGCCAATTTCTGGCTACTGATTGCACACACATGCTACCACTTCAAGGGTTGTACCGTGCGTAGTGTGTACCCTCTAATACCTAGAGCATAACCTATAAGAAACATTGTCACGAGGATAGCGCAGTTTACTGTTCTGGACACTCATGAGGTACCATGCGCGAAACGACTCAAATCAAGGTTGCACGGAATCATTAGTATCACCAGCATGTTGTTGGAGTAGACGGACAGGTGGAAAAGGATTGGATTCCACAAAAGAAGTCCTTGTGGAGCTATGAACTATCCCTTATCTGCGAGGCGCGAGAACCTTGGAGAAAGAAGAAAAGAATGCGGCGGACAGAGCAGGAGTCGGCAATGAACGAGAAACTCCAGATCGCACACCATGGTGGATCCATTATGTGAAGCGGACACAGTGAACCTTCCACGCAATTACCACGGGCTGAACATGATCAGTGTGCCCTTTGGAAGGGACACCCAGTGCGCCGCCAGTCTCCGCATCCTATATATGATCGGAACTAGACATCATGTGTCATGTATCTGGCGAGATTGTGATAGACCGGACGTATTCCGTTACAGTATGCCCTCGGAGTGGAGCGCCCAGTTCGCAGCTAGTCTGTGTCTCATGCCTGGATTGTCCTGTTGTCTGAAGCGGATACGATGTTTCCATTGCAGTAGACCGAACACCCGAACACCACCAGTGTGCCTCAAAGAGCATCTCCCGTTTCTATGTCTCACAGCCCGATTGTGCGGTCGGCTGAACTAGAGACGATGCATCTTCCATCAGGAGAGATTGCAACACAGTGAATGCCGAAGGTGTGCCATCGGAGAGGAAGATTCAAACCTTGCCAGTACCCGCATCACACATTCGGATGAACCTGACAGGATACGTTTTCCATCTGGCGAGACTACAACAGACACAACGACATCAATGTGCCCCAGGAGAAGGGCACCCAATGCAATGCAACAGTCTCTGGTTTCTACGCCCGGATCGTTCTGTCAGCTGAGCCAGACACGATCCACATTCTATCAATGTCCAAAGACCCTGCAACAACCCACAATACTCCAATGATCCCAACAACGGAATATGACTACGCACCATAGAGCAATCTGTGATACACGAAAGACCCCGCAGAAGCGCTGAGCCCTTTCATTAGAGCCAATGCTTCCAGCCAGATAAGGAATCGTTTCTCATTGAAAATTTCATTGGCTAGAAATGGTTGAAAGGGCAAAGTTTGCGTGTGTCATCCAGAATCGACACGAGTACGGTAGCTCTGCCGGGATGAACTCCTTCGTTCATTTTTCCAAACTGGGGACGGCGGAATTAGGCAAGTAAGAACTCTTCAAGGAGCAGAGTTAAAGCGAAGCCCGTGCTTCATATCCTGCAGCGAGGCAAAGGTACTTCTTGCTCCGCGATTTCTTTGTGAGAAAGTTGTAGAAGAAACATATGCATCAACGCCGGTGACAAGCCAGATGTCCGATGACTGAGCTTACGTAGTAGCAGGTATCCTCGCGTGAAGATGCATTCGCATGGTGGTCAACGCAGAGCGGTTCCAGTGATGTAGGAATCTGTCCCATCACAGAAAGAAAAACATAGCGATCAATTCCTCGTTATCATCATCTGTCATGATTTCTGCCATGATGCCTCTGTATATATCGTCCAACAGACGTGTTCCTTATGCAGGTGTTCTAGCAACCACGGCGTCGAAAGCTATCGGAGTGCTATCCACATTGTTGGTGCCCTTGACATGCTCAGAGTGACAGAAGCAAGACGAGCACATTCAAACAGGCCGTCGGATTTGTGAGCAAAGGCGTGGACGTGTGTATCGTTGATGTTGCACAGGCCTGACAAACTAGTGGAAATGTTAAGCTGGATGCCTTATTTTGTGGATACACGACGAACATGTGGCGCGGTGTGCAGTGCGTCGCAGATGTCTTCCAGTGGTCGAGAAGTGACGAGAATACAGAGGTTTTCCAATAATCTGATTACCCACAAGGACAGCCTGCTGGAAAGGAGATGAAGAATCAGCTGCCGGGAATTTGACCAGGTGCAACAAGCCCCTCCTGCGTGCATTCGAAGCAGAAGATTCTAGAGCCCCAATCTCAGTAAATCATTCGACTATTGCATGGGCAATGACCAACCTGCCTTTTCATGCCGTTCCGAGCAAACCATAGGGCGCGGGAAACACCTTTCCCAGCGCTTCCGAGCCAGGACTTGGTGTCGGACAGAATGGCTTCCCGAGTACCTGGGAGACAACGCTTGGAGGTGTTCAGTTCTAGAATTAGCTGCATACTTCATGTCATTGAAGGCGAGAACCTCTAATATACGAGTCGTTGAATATCAGAAAATTCAGAGGAAGTCTAAGGTCTACGCTTACCCATATGGTGAATAGTCACAGTACTGCAAGCCACTCGAATTGTTACATGAGACAGCTCTGGATCGCGGTATCCATTTCAATGGAGACGTCCTTGCCGAGTTGTGTCCCTGTGCGAATGTCTTAGTTAGTCTCAGGCCACGATGCAGTCGAATCAACTCACAAAACTTCTTCGAATCAGAGTAATGTGTGATCTACACACTCGAGCATCTGTTGCGCTGTCTTTCCGTACATCGATAACATGAATGCAATATTAGCCCATTCCTTCTCTTCCTTGACCAAAGAATTGCTTTCAAGAACAGCCTGACAGGACACAGCAACATCGGGGTCCGTCTGATCGAGAATTATCTGTCGCCAAGTTGAGCGAGACGAGCGAACCTAAGTTAGACGTACAAACTCATGTACATCTGCAATACGGTCAGAAACGGAGTTGAACACAATCAGGGGTTCAAGAATGGTAGAAGTATAAATGGATCCTCAGGCTACATGATCGCTTCTTGGGATAATGGTGATGTGTGCAGTGCCTCTGGTGGGCATCGGCGTTCACAACTGATACAGGTCGGTCGCAAATATCTGCTTCAGAAGCACTAGGCGCAGTAAGCAGTGAAGGGTCCGAACTTGAAGAGAGCCGCCGCAGGTTGAGTTATTGTTAGAAGACCAAGCGAAAGGAACCCTGATTGGCATGCTCCAGAACTTGTAAAATAAGCCCACGGGGCCGTTTGCGAGAACCAGCTCGTGCCAGGTGTATGACAGAAGATGGCTGTGATGTTCAATTGTTCAAGTCGTGAAAGTACTGACAGGCTCAGACACGCTTATATAAAATGAATTTGAATGGGGGTCACGGTATAGGTGGGAGTTAACGTTGAAACATCGACCAGCTGCAACTAGAACTACTCATTTTTGCCATATATTCGACACACCGAGTTAACATCGCTCGTGTTTCGCCTTTATATTCCCAATCTTCGCAAGCTACGGTTGACCTTCGGACGGCTGGCGAGAGACAGCGCCATCTTTTGGACTCGCAGTCGTTATTTAAGTCGCAACAACATTCGTCAAAGTTGGCAAGGTTCTGACGATGCTGGTCGCTGGACAGATCACTCCTGTCCTTGCGAAAACTTCACGTTCTGGAAGCGGATGATGTTGAAATCATAATTTGCCACCACTGCATGATGAAGCATTGCCAAAATTATGAGCAAACTACCTTCTCTGCAGGCCAGCCTTTCACGACAGTAGCCGGGGTCCCACAAGCCTCACTACTTGAATCGTTTCTGAGACAGTTTGAATTCTGCAACGACCCACATACGAAGGATCCACCTGTGAGTCAAAGTTCAGTGAATGACATTAATGAAGACCCGTCTGACTTCATGGTCAGAGTCTGTGCTACGTAGGGTCTAACCACACAATCTCCTGCCACACACGTAGAATTCCTGCCTGATTGGGGTGCGATTCTATTTACACAGTCGGCTATGGTCTTGTGAACCTGTTCATCTCGCCAGTCTTTCGAGAGCCAATCGCTAGTTTTTCTCTCACTGCCATGTCTATACCTGAAAGTTTTACGCTGAAGAAGTTGTACGATCTCAATGGCTTGATCGCACTGGTGACCGGTGGCGGTACAGGCATCGGCCTTATGATTGCTCGTGGCCTCGCTGCCAATGGGGCCAAGGTGTATATCACTGGTCGACGAAAGGAAGTTCTTGACAAAGTAGTTTTGGAGTGGAATGCAACCAAGGGAGACGACATGGGACCTATGATAGCGTGAGATCCATTGTTTATGCGTTTCGTGCGGGCTGATCAAGCACCATCCATAGGCATGAGATGGATGTAACAAAGAAAGACAGTATTCAGGTTGGTGTAACGAGAATAGCTGAAGCGGATGGAAAGTTGCACATCCTCGTGAACAAGTATGCCACCTACTCTCCCTATTGTTTTGTGACTCACTACGATTGAATGAAGTGCTGGCCAATCAGGTCCTCTCTCCTCTGAGTTGAATCGACCATCGCCGACTGCTCAAAAAGAGGCCGGACCACTCGGTGAATACCTTTTCAACAATGAATCGTTCGAGGAATGGAGCTCTCTTTACGCAATCAATACCTTTTCAATCTACTTTGTAACCCTTGCGTTTTTGGATTTGCTCGATAAGGGATCCAAGAATAACGAGAAAGAGGGATTCTCTTCAAGCGTTATTAATATCACGAGTATGAGCGGACTCGTCAAGTTTGCACAGAGACATGTGAGCAAACTCAATTTCAATTTCTTGTATCATCACTAACTTTGGTGCAAAAGTTCTGCTACAACAGCTCAAAAGCTGCTGGGTCTCACCTCACCAAGATGCTTTCAACGGAATTTGCTCTTAAAGGGATCGATGTTCGAGTGAACGCTATCGCGCCAGGCGTGTATGAAAGCGAGATGACATATGACACAATTTCAGGACAAGCGGCGACTGATGCGGTCGGTATGCCGGTGGTGTCTATACCAGCGAAGAGGCCAGGAACGTGAGTGAGCTTAATTCATGAACCAGAACGTTCACTGACAGGAAAACGTAACAGTGCTGCTGAGATGGCAGGCACTGCCGTTTATCTCGCATCACCTGCTGGAGCTTATATGAATGGGCAGGAACTTGTTATTGATGGCGGAACCTTGGCTGTGAATCCTGGCAGAGTGTAATATACATTTTCATCAAGGAAGCTATGTACTAATAACAATTAATACGTGAAGCAATGCATCCCCAATACGGCGAGTACTCACATGTCCAGCACCGGGCGGCCGTGTGTCCAGCATGACTTACTATGCGAACAAAGAAGGATGCATATTTAATGCTTTTTGAAAAACTCGCCCTAAGCACAAAGTTGGCAAAGGCACTCTTGATTGTCTAAAATGTCCACACATTATGATTGCATCGTGGTCGGGAGCGGCCATGCAGGTTGCTCGGCAGCCCTTGCCGCTGTTGAGGCAGGTTGTACCTCTGTCCTTATCGTCGAAAAAGCCCCACGCGATTGGGTCGGCGGCAATGGCTACTTCACAGCAGGTGCGCATAGAACAGTCCACGGGGGACTACAAGATCTCCTCCCAATCGTGCGCAATGTCACGCCAGAGCAGGCGTCCAAAATCGACGTGGATCCCTACACTGTCGAGGACTTTCATCGGAGACATTCAAGCGCCTTGGCCAAGATAAGCCAGACACTAAGCTGGTGAAATCCATGGTGGAATCCTCGAGAGAAGCGGTTGAATGGCTCGCGCGGATAATAGATATTCCGTTCATTCTGTCATTCCACCGCCAAGCATACGAGGTACACGGGAGGCAAAAGTTCTGGGGTGGCATGGCACTCAGTACTGAGGACGGCGGAAAGGGGTTAATAAAGGCCCATATGAAGGCACTAGAGAAGGCCGGAGTGGAGATTTGGTTCGAGTCTCCTGCCATCAGGCTCAGGGTTGAAACAGGAACAATAACGGGTCTTGTGGTTCAGATAGACGGCAAGGAATTAAATCTTTCAGCCTCTTCAGTAGTGCTGGCAGCAGGCGGTTATGAATCTAGCTCAGAGCTCCGGGCTAAACATCTTGGTTCTGAATGGGAAAAGGCACACGTAAGTTGCAACAGTTGCTCAGGGAACCTTACATATAACAACTGAAATAACGTACAGGTCAGGGGCACTCCTTACAATACGGGTGACGGCTTTGCCATGGCCCAAGCTGTTGGTGCAAAACTTATTGGAGATTGGGCAGGATGTCACAGCACGTGTTGGGATGCAAATGCACCAGTAGACGCAGGCGACAGGGAGCTCAGCAATCAATTCACAAAGTCTGGATATCCTCTGGGTATCATGGTTAACATCTATGGCCAACGTTTCGTCGACGAAGGGCAGGATTTCAGAAATTTCACATATGCCAAGTTTGGGCGACAAATCCTTCTCCAACCGGAAGGGTGTGCATTCCAAGTGTGGGGTGCAGACATGGTTCCATTTCTCCGGAAGGAGGAATATGGGGATGAGATCGTCGAGAAGATCTGTGCTGAAAACATGGAGGAGCTTGCAGACAAGCTACTTGAAAAAGGACTCAAGGATAAAGAGTGTTTTCTCAAGACAGTGCACGATTTCAACGCGGCAGTCCAAAGTCATCGAGCTGAATGCCCAACTCTTAGATGGGACCCCACGGTCAAAGATGGACTTTCGACTCAATCTAGCACGGTAGCGCTGCAGCTTCCAAAATCAAACTGGGCACTGCCGATCAATCAGGGACCCTTCCTGGCGGTAAAAGTCGCGTGTGGTATCACTTTTACCTTCGGCGGGCTCGCCATAGATCCGGAGACCGCTGGCATACTGTCGAAAGATACAGATGCACCAATAAAAGGCCTTTTCTGCACGGGTGAAATGGTTGGTGGTTTGTTTTATGACAACTACCCCGGAGGTAGCGGACTGACCGCTGGGGCTGTGTTCGGACGTAAAGCGGGGGGGCAGGCAGCCAAGCTCGCTGGGAAATCAGTGAAGTAAGAGGTACGGGAGGGTTTTAATGCGACCTGAGGGGGAAAGAAGGTGATATGAAAGTGCAAGAAGGTGCGGAACGGGTGCCATGACTAGCCAAAACGGATGAAAAACTGGAAGAAGACGCAGTGCAGCTAATTCAGGCGGTGATGACGCTATGCTAGAACACATTAATGTCCCTCAGGCCCGGGCCACTGAGCTAGCCTGAACAGCTCACCTTCAACACCATATGCATAATTTCTGAATAAAATGATTCAAACGAATACGTTCATAGTAGTCACGTCACGTCAAAACAAACACCGTGACATGAAAGCCGGATGTCGAACTTCCGGCATCCAACATTGAAACCTAAGTATGCCTCGCCGTCGACCGTCATCTGGTAAGAGTAATTTCCGCTCGAAGTCGCGGCCAGTGGATCGCAAGGACGGTAAAATAAAAAGGTGGAATAAGGCTTCTGATATTGAGTTAGACGAAGAGGACCAATGTACGTTGTCATATCCCGAAAATGATTTCATGTTGAAAACTATCATTATCTTAGTCCATGCGTCCAGGGATAAAATTCTATTGAACGAAGATGGAGATGTCGAGGATGAAGGCGGGGATGAAGACGAAGTGTTTGCTCTTGAAGGGGTATCAGATGAGGATTCAGAGGAAGCTGAAGGAGACGGGGACGAGGACGGATTTGCGCATGCTGAAGATGAAGACGACGAAGAAGATGCAGTTGTCACTAGGAGAAAAACCAAGTCGAAGAAGGCGTCATCTCCAGATACCGGGTCTGAGGATGAGTCCTGGGGCCGAAGCAAGTCAGCGTATTACTCCTCTAATGCCGCCCAGATCGACTCAGGAGACGAGGAGGCAAATGAACTGGAAGAACAGGAAGCACGCAAACTTCAGCTGAAGGCTCGGGATGCTATTGACGAGGGCGATTTTGGATTGGGTGAAGGTCTCGAACAAGCATCCGACGCTGAGGCTGAGTACGTAGTATCATTCGTTTGTTATCCGTGGCTTACATTGTTTTCAGAGATTCGTTAGAGGAACACTCACAGCCCCTAATCGACGCATCCTCAAATGACAAGACGACCATCTTGCAGCACCTGGAAAGAGAAAATCCAGAGGCTCTTGCCTTGGCCCGCGACTGGGATGACACGGCCCGTAATCTCATCGAAATACAAGCAAAAATCGCCGCGTGAGTTTTCATAACACCTCTTTCCAAAGTTCGTGCTCAACGTTTGTTTAGAGCATCGGAGAAAGAAACCGACGGAATTGAACTTGGACTTCTGCACGTATACTACCGTCAGTTCTCACCTCCGGCTTATTTTACTTGTGACGCATCCGAATTTCTGACCAACCAGTTCTTTTTTTACGTTACAGAGGCTCTCCTGACCTATGCCACTACCCTCGCATTTTATCTTCACCTTCGCTCCTCGGATAAATACGCAGGTCGTCCACTACTTCTGAGACAGCACCCTGTCCTAAATCGCTTGCTCACTCTCAAACAATCACTCATCATGTTAGAAAATTTGGGCGTTGGCACTGATTCGCAGGAAGAAGACGACGAAGATGAAGACGAAGACATATACGACGAACCAGGATCTGACTTGTGGAGCATTCTAATGGCGAAGGGTCTCGAATCTAACGAACTTACAGATTTATTGATGGACGTCGAGAAAAAACCCGGAAAGGCATCCAAGAAAGAGATGATCGAAGCTAACCCTCCCAAGAAAAAACGCAAGACTTCCGATGATAAAAATGGACAGCCAATCTTCGACCTTGTCGAGCCAGACTTTGAGGTGGCCTCGACTTCCGCAAAGAAGCGTTCGGCTCCCGCTGACATCGGTAGCACGGACGCATTTGGTGAAGCCACGTTCCTACAACACGCTGACGCCACGGACAAACAGGCACGCAAGAAGAGCTTGCGTTTCCATGTGTCACGGATTGAAAGCGCTACTGCACGGCGCCAGAACGCTCGTGTCAATGCGGTGGGCGGTGATGATGACATTCCTTACCGTGAACGAAGGAAAGAAAAGGAACAGAGAATGGAGAAAGAGCGGCAGCGCAAGGCCGGAACATTGGGGATGGGCGGAGATGACCTGGATGGTGTGGATCCCGAAATTACTGATGCAAGCAACCGCGGCAAAAAGAGACGGAGAGATGTTGATGTTGAGGACGATGATGATAGCGACACGGCTGCAGCACATGGCTATTACGAGCTCGTAAAACGACAAGCCGCGGACAAGAAGAGCAACAAAAAGATGGACTATGAGGAGGTTAGGGCGGCCGAGCGGTAAGCCCCAGTTTTCATATATCACGGGACTTTCTCATCTGATCCTCATAGACTTGTCTCTGATCAACATGATGAGACATCTGGCCCGCGCTCGGTCACGCGAGCCATCATGAAAAATAAGGGACTAACGCCGCACAGGTCAAAGAGTGTACGCAATCCCCGTGTTAAAAAACGCCAAAAATACGAGCAAGCCAAAAAGAGGGTGTCATCACAACGTGCTGTTTACAAAGGTGGTATCGGCGATGCCTCAAAATATACAGGCGAGCAGTCTGGTATATCCAAAGTTATCAAGAGCGTCCGCCTGGGATAAAGGGTATCACTATCTGGAATATATCCTGCTACAGTACATCGTACTATTTAGACAACACGGTGAAACCAAATGAGAAGCTCGAATAACTACATAATCGAAAATGTGAGTCCATGGATGCAGGAAGGGAGGGGAGTAAACAATAATCCGTCGCGGATAAGGGCTCAGGAGACCGCAAGTAACCGATCTACAAGGATGAAAATAATAAAGGGTGTAAAGCCTAGAATAACGCTTTAAATCGACATGTACTAGCGCATCATGCATGAGCCTATCACCTCGGGAATTAAAGAAAAGGGCTCACCGTATTTCCATGGTGCTTGCCGTTTCCGTTGGTTAGTGCGTCGACGCTCATGGTCTCTGCGTGGAAGGCACGAGAAGATGGGCTGATAGCGCTAGCCATTTCGTGGAAATTATTCGGACCCTTTTGCAGCGCAGCGTCATACTCCCGGCTGATCTCCTTCGCATGTTCCTTCGTCTCTTCATAAGCATAGCTGTATTGTTCCAGTGCCTTGATGCACTGAAATACTTCGGGACGGCCTAGCCGAGCAAGGAAATTTCCTGCGTTGATACAGCTGACATGCATGACCGCAGGGTCCAGTTTCTGAACGGAGTTAATTGATATAGTGGTACTTTTAAAGACAAGCGTACCAAGTAACCATTTGAGGTAAGTACTCCAGCCTTGGAAAAAAATCAGCGGTGGTAATTCGCCAAGCCGCAATCACTCACGAGCGCCGCGATGCGTAAGGATGCTTGCAGAGCTTCTTCCATGACTTTACGTTTTGCAGTCTCCACCTGATTGATACTACTTGGCGTGAAGGCGTCGTCGCGGATACCAAACTCATCCATCGCAAAGAAAAGGGCCACCCAGGTGACATGATACTGAGCATCGCTTGCACCTGAATACTAGTTTAGCAGACTCAACATGATGATAAATCGACTACTGACATGCAGAGACCGCAGATACGAAATCCCAATTAGCCTCCAAGTTAGGTGGCACACCGACCTTGGACAAATGAGCATCTCTCCATTTGCTTAGATCCGAGATGTACGACAGGACAGAATCAAGGGGGATGCCATCTTGATCTGTAGATGGCCTCCAGAGTTGGCGAGCAATTGTCCGTGAGATCCGAGCAAGGGCGTGTGCGGCTTGATAGTACCCCTGTTAAAGCGTAAGTGCGCATCCAAAGATACCGTTTAGAGTTTACCAACCAAAAACTAAGCATGATGTAAGTATCATGAGCGTTCGCAGAACACGACCCTGAATCTCACCTCCAGTTGTTCTCTAGGGGATGGAGCCGTGGGGTCGGTGGTCTCCTGGGCATTCTGATCAGCAGTGTAGAAGTCAATGTCGTAGTCGTCGTCATCGCTACATGGGCGGATATTAGTGTTCGATGGAGAAAAAAATATCGTTAAACTTACAGCATAGGCTTCCGGCGGTAATAAAAAGAGGAGAACGCATCCGACAGACAAGCCATCCACCAAGCGAAAATCATGGTACCGCGCGCCTCGGGATCTTTGATAAGCACCATCACGGATTTGTGATTGATCTTCAAGTGATTTTCTGAGAATGAATCTTTTAGATGCAATCATTCTACTTACCTGTAATCCAAGTAAGTTACGTATTCCACTAGTGAGCCAGAACCCGTGGAAGCCTGCTCCCTGTCAGCCGGAGCAGTGAAAACAATTAGATCAATATTACCGTTGTCAAGTCGTGGGTCCTCTATTGCATAATGATGAATAAACGCAAAATCGGCAAAATATAATACGTACGACATTGCAAAGGTTCGATCAGCAACGAGATGACGACATGATTTGTGTTTGGTATGCGGTGCACTTTTAACGACTCAGCCAGCTCTCGGGTGCGGTTGATGAGCGCTTTCGCGAGTAGGCTTTGTCCACCATTTCTATCGCGATCTGCTACCAGAAGAGGATGTTCGGAGAATTTTGCACCCCAGGCAAGCACAGTTGCGATAAGGGCTGGGTGTAATGGTTCGTCCTGCTTTGCAATCACTGGCCTTTGTTGAGTGGCCTGAAGATTTAGCCGCGCGCGAAACTGCAAGGGGTTGAGAAGAGGAAGACGGGTATGGACTATCTGGAAATAAACTTCAACTAGGTCAAGGGCGAACCTGTCATCAGAAGCAAAACCGGACGGATCAGTAACAGCCTATTAGGAATGGATCGATACGGCAAATGAAAAGGAACTGTAAAGCCACTTCGAAGAGGCTCCTCAGTAACCATCATGGAACACGATAACACTTGACGTACACCGCGATAATTTCGATCGTTTACGTAATGTGAGAGGAAAAGGGGTAGACGCAACGTACTCTGCTCGGAAGGCTTCATCCTCAAGTTTGGATGCCATGTCTCCCCATGTGGCATAGCCTGATGATCGTGATTTGAACATAAATGTGGAATCGCTGACGTGACTAGATAAGTCAGCCAGGCGACGCGAATAGAATACAGTATCCACCTTTCCGGCGCAGCAAACAGGTGATGAAGAAGCGTTGGAGTAGTGGATTGCATGCTGAGACCACCATAACTTTGAATGCGCCCTGAATTCCATGGACCAAATGCGGCTTTGAACCAGGGGGGCGTGTTATGCTCAGAAATGGGTGATGAACTATCGGCAAATGTTAGACGAGGAATCGATAAAACAAAAACTATAGCTTCATACCCAGCAGATACAGGAGAGGTGCTGAATGACGGGCAGGTAAGACGACGGCAGCGACCAAGATTATGCAGAGATAGAAAGATCGACAATCGAACATCAGAGATACGATAATAAGCGAGACGAGATAGGAGTGCCCGAAGCTAACCTTGAGCTTGTTGATATATTTCTCGGCCTCCGGGCGGCAGCGCTACGCTTCTTTTCGCTGGTCGCTTGTTGAACGAAATGGCTAGATAACGGGTCGGCTCGCGGCTAAACGATTCAATATAGAAAGACACTAACGTGCAAGGATAATTCTTAGACAAGCAGTGCTGATGTTTATCTTCAGAACGTTGCAGTTAAGCATAAAAGGAAAACGTAATCACCTGGCACTGAAATAATGAAGAATAAATGAGATAATTATCGGCAGGGTTGCTTAAATATTACCCACCTTGTCTTCGCCAGGGAGTCTATTGCATTTGACCTTTCGGGACCTGTGGTGATGGGAGTGAATAAGTTGGCAGACGCCGATCACCAGCATGCTGCGCAAACCTGCAGGCATCACACGCGGTGTTTTGCTTCCTTGGAGGCGGAAGGGTCTTGGCTAGCTCATGGATCTGATTCTGAACAGATTGAGTTGGGAGAATGAGGCCTTGGGGAGGTGTGATGTTGTGAGAATTGAGAGTTAATGATCGATTGGAAACGAATTTACCAGGATGCGAGAAGGAGTGACCGTTATCATTGCGAACATGGTCACCGTTCTGCATATTATGATGGGGCGGTATAGACTGATATAATTAAGAAGAAATAACAGGAGGAGGACAAGGAGGAATCATTTGTATTGGGCCATCCGTGTACTTATAATACCATAAGTCATGATTCAGCCGTAATAGGGATATTGGCAGCGAAATTCCAAATTGATTTATCCTCCTTTTTCGGAACTGAGTTTAGTTACAAATTCTGTTGATTCGGCAAGAAAGATTTCGTTTTTGGAAAAGACAGATTATGACAAAGTAAAATACAAACTCCGATCAAGGAATTGCCGGCACCGAAGTCCAGACTCTCACGTCGGCTCCAAATTTTCAGTCTTGTGTTCATACCATGGTCAAAGTCGAGATCGTAGAAGAAAAAGACCCACAGTCTTCGGCCAACTCGCCCTATGCCTCACCCTCGTCTTCACGTCATTCTTCTCAAGAATCAATCTCTTCAGTCTCTTCTGAGCTCTCTGCAGAAGAAAATTTGTATGACCGCATAAGCGCATTGGTAGACATAGTCCCCCCAACTACCAGACACAGCATCTCTACCAAGTTTTCAAGTGCTGCATCGTTCTTCAGGATCAGTGGAAAAGTCATTGGTAACATCGTCTGGATAGTCACCACTTCAGCCCTCCTTGTAGGGCTACCCCTTGCGCTGAGTTTGGAAGATGAGGCAAAGATAGTAGCGCAGGAACGCGAAATGATTGCGCAACAGCAAGGTGCCCAGCAGGTAAGTGTTTGGACAGTTCATTATATTCTTCTGTCACTTTGATATGGCTTGTTTACTGATTCTTAATGCTTATAGATGCTTTCGCCAGGATCAGCTTACCCACCGCCACCGGGCTCAAATCAGGCACCTCAAAAGGGCATCGTTCCGCCCGGCTTCTGATCAAAAGCCAGCCTGTTTTCAAGCTGTTCTTTCACCTTGTCAGCAGTTACAAGTACTCAGATACTTTATGCACACGTGTACCTTATACATAATTCTCTCGCGTTCCGCAGTATCCGCCGCCGGCACCAGAATCCACATCGTGTGTTGCAGCGAATTGTCACCCACGTGTCATTCGATCATGCTATAATAAAACTCTACTCAGTTCATTAAGCAGTTCACGCCCGTATGTTCTCGTCTGGGTCGGGTGGCATTTGAGCGACTTCTTAGACTGCTGAGAATAGGTTCACAGGTTCACTTAAGCTAACGCATCCTAGCAACGCTTTCATGAAATCATTTATTGCTCCAGTATGGAACAATAAGCAACGCCCATGAAGATCCGATATGACTCTATATATCCTACGGTATGATGCAACGGTCCACGAATCGCGAGAGTCGGAAATGACATTCGCCTAGCTGGACCGTGCAGGGAAAACCACCGGTCGCACGAAGTTCTCTCTAAGGCAAAGAGAAATTAGCTCCTCGGGCAATGTGTAGTCGACCAGATACGTACGCCGAACGGTACCTTCGTAGGTACGTGATCGCATGGTTCTCGATCTCGTCAGGAGTCACCCCTACAGTTTCCCAATCGCCTGGAACGTCCACGTCATCTATATAGCGCCTCTCGACCTCATCAGGACTAATGAGCGGCCACCACGGTGCCTGAGCAACCTTAGCAAGGGCCAACGCAATAGACTTGGGTAGCACGGGTGCACTCGACGGCGGTGTATATGTCAAGGAAGATACCATGTCTAACAGGTACTCCGTCGTCAACGTCCTTGGTCCAGGAAGGGAAATAGTGCCGGGAATTTGGGGGATCGTCATCAAATTGGTTAAAGCTTGAGCGACGTCCATAACCTGTCAACCCACGATCAGTTTGAGAAGGAAGATCATGACCATGACAGGGCCGAGATTTACGTGAACTGGTCGAATTTTAGTTTCTCCGTGGTTGAGCTTCCACCAGATAGGCCAACCTTGACATATTCGTCTGATCAACGGATGAACGATAAAGCGGAACTTCGAACCCACTAGCCATATTATTCAAGAACTTGTCCTCGCAGCCATACATTTGGCCAGGGCGGACAATAGTAGCAGCGGGGAACGCATCCCTGACCCGTTCTTCGCCCTCAGCTTTGGTTCGGTAGAAATGCGACGGGGAAGACGTCGAAGCATTCAGATGAGAAACATGTACTAGGCGTGGTACTCCTGCTTGTGCCGCGATTTTTGCGATCCTCTCCGCCCCGCTAACATGAACGTCAGAGTATTTAAAGTTCCTGAGATGATTAGAGTGGGGTAAGTGCGTAGGTTAACGCATAATATTAAATTCAAAATGTACTTGGTTTCATATTGTCGGCCGACAAGGTTGTAAACAATGTCGGAATGCCTTAAACACTCAGCAATTTGTTCGTCATTCCGGATATCCCATTCCTGAAATGAATTTGAGATGGTTACGATTGGGACATGGAAGCAGATGCAACGCTACCATGGAGACTATCTGGCCAAGGTCGCCCATTGGTTTGAGGTGCCTCTTCTCATCCTCCTCGCGGTAAGGCACGATGACCTGTGTACCCATTCGAGCTGTAAAGTGGAGTGTTAGTAGACGCCAAAACCTTGAGGTGATCCAAATTAAGCTTACCAAGTTTCGAGACGAGATAACGTCCGAGAAATCCAGTGCAGCCAAAGACGGTGACAACATGGCCGCTCACTGCGCTGTAACCAGGTGTCCCGGACGAAATGATTGGTTTACGGTTAGGAAGCGTCACCAAGTCATGCAAAGCACGCTGCAAAGTCAACTCAGTCACTACAGGTCAATAAGAACACTTTGGAGATACACTGACCTTCCCGCGTGATACAGCTACGCGCTGAACGCGTAGAACATGGGATGCTGAAAGCATAACTGTCGCCGACGATGGAAATAGCAGACTGAGCTGCAAGGTAGCGGCGGAGGAAAGCTAACCGGAATTTTCCGGTCGTGTGATTTGTGGACGGTTGACCCGATATGTAACTTTTAAGTCCACATAACTTTGACATCACTCAACGCAAAAGCGCGCATCTTATCTTACGATCAATGGTTCAGGGCAAAACCAAGGGTCTTCATAGCAAGGCTTCATCGTCAAGACAAGCTGCCAAGGCCGCTGCTAACCCGAAAAAAGGGAAACGGTACATCCCACCCAAAAAGACCGCTCTGGTCAAGCAGGCTTCCATGAGGCAGGTAAGTCTTCGTCTTCTAATGAATTACGAGTTTCATTGACCATTGCACTGGATATGTAGTCACTGACGGCCAAGATAAACAAATCCATCGAACAGCAAATGGTATCTGCTGCATCAGCCGGCAAACTCTCGATCATGAAAAACACCCTCGATGCGTATGACTGATAGTCCCGTATACGTATAATTCGAATTTACCCATATTCTACGCAGTGAACCACCCAAGGTCACTCCAGGTGGAAAAGCCTCCAAGTCTTGACAGTTCGTGTGCTATTGCTGGTACGTTGCTCACAAATATTTTACAAGCTGTACTTACAGACCCCAAAAATATCCAGGTGTGATTTTACGGATTTGACCCTCGAGTATTCCGTCGGGACGATAAGGCTCCGCATGGCCAATCGACATACGCAGTTCGCATGTCATTTGAGTGACCGGATATCAAGTAGCGCCACAGAGAAGGTTGATGGACGACGGTATATTATAAATGACTATAGCATGCTTGAACAATTGCAAGGTATAAACAATTGCAAAATATAGCGATCAAGCAATAGTACACAGACAACTTAATGTCTCTGCATTGCAAATGAGCTAGGTAAAACAGCAGAGTCCAAGAAGAGCTAGTGGATGCAGGAGAGATGTATCAAATGCGAGGTATGACATGCAACTACGAGTATGTGCCGAGTGTGAATGCAGACACGAATGGGACCCTACGAGAGACATGTAAAATATTGATGCGATCGTGCAATGTCGGGTGAATGCGAAGCATGAGAAAATGATTAAATGCATGTAGAACGCTGGTGAGAGGTAAGGCAAGAAAAAAAAATGCACGTGGATGTGGGATGATGATCCACGCGTGCGGAGTGAAGGAGCCATCGAGGGACGTCCGCCATTATCTCCAGTTACGGTCAAACGGCACTCCACTTCCGATTTGGAAGAGTATGCATTTGATCTCGTGGAGGGCATCTCGCTGCGTCTGAGACAGGAGATTAGGACGAGAGTCGACAAAGCCTATGACTTTGTTGATGGAATCCTCGGCTTCTGCGATATTAACAATAGTTTCGCCCGCTGTAATAGGCGGTGCGGGTTGGTATACAACAGCCGGCTCGGTATATTGGGAGTTTGGATCTGAGTGCGTGAGTTGTACCCCTTGCTGCTGCGGGTCTGTCACCTGAAGGTGCTGCTGCACAGGATTCGACAGTGCGGATAAATTCATTTCCGCTGCGACCGAGTCTGGCTGCCGTTCCTCGTGGCGTTGGTGTACAAAGGACTGATGAGATATGGGTTCATGAGCATTGCCCGGTGGCACGGAAGAAAGTGGCGTATTGGGAGCGGTTAGATGATCCGTTTGTATAGCCCACATGCGTGGTAGGGGGAGAGTGGGTCCCAGTGGTGCTTGGGACAAAGAAGGCCCAGTGTCGCTTTGTGATTGCAGAGGGTGTGGAACTTCTGGCTCATCTTCTGATTCCATGTCATCATCGCCATCAGCCATCGTAGAATGCTCTTCGGAATCGCGTCCATGCGCAACCTCAGAGCGACCCTCGAATGCGGGATTAAGGGGCGAAAGCACTGTATCTGTGGCGCCACGCCTGTGCTCTTGGGCACCCGCGAGGCCACGAGAAGCCCGCAGAATCTTCTCGTGACCTTGCCAGACACCCTTGCGAATGTTATGGCGATGCTTGAAGTTCTCGACCCATCCTGAACTAGCTTTGAATCTCTCGTCAGGGATCTGCAAACTGCGAGCAGTTTCCTTAGCCTTTGTGCGAATGAGGTTATCGGAGAGTAATGTGTTTTGTTGCTGCTGCTTCATTTGAAGTAGCCACTCGACGAGCGCCTCTTCAACCTCAGGGAATTTTGAAGGCCTGAATACAAGTGAGATTTACGAAAGAATGGATAAAGGGGATCGTTACCTATGCTTGGCCACACGCATGTCTTCATCCTCTGGGACATTCATCCATTTTGTTTTATTTTTCAGGATCTTGCTGATGGTGCTCCGCTCAACACCATACCGTGCTGCGATATCCTCCTGCCGTGCATTGGGGTTGTCTTGGTGGTAAATGCAGATGGCCTTACGGTCAACGTTAAAAAGACGTTGCTTTCGTTGCTTGGCACGTGGAATGACAGCGCCTGGAGGTGAAGGAAGGGGAAAGGCTGGGAAGGTCTGAGAGTTGGGGGCGGAGGTAGCGGATGAGATAGATGTGAGTGCAGATGCGACGCTTAATGCGGGCGAAGCAGAGCGTGGATTAGAGGTAGAGTAGGATGATGCGGAACGTGAATGCTGGTGATACATGGGAAATGGGGAATAGGGTGATGCTGACACAGGCGTGCTCAGGTACCGAGGTGATTGCAAGGGTATACCACCCGAACCCATTGTGAAAGACACTCTGTCAGGCAGTTGGTAGCGATTTGGGTCGCTACTGCTTGCAGGCGTCTGAGGGCGCGAAACGGCACTCCCTGGAGACATGTAGTAGGAAGACTAGTAAAGGAGGCGATGAGCCAGGTGAAATGATGAGAAAAGCACGAGCTATGACGTACCTCGTCGGCCCCGTGTAAATCAGACTGCGCGTTTGATGGTGCAGGTGGTCTGTCTCTTCTGAGACCAATGTGAAGGGTGGACTGTGCGCGTGTCTGCCGGCGCGTGAGCCTGGAAGGGCCGATGCTACCCGAAATTTGAGGAGAGAGAGCGATTGTCGCGGAGTGATTTCCATCCTCTTCGGGACGCATGTTGGATGGTTGGGAATAATTGGAATAAGAGTCGTTGGGCTGCACTTGCCCATACGATGTGGATGTAGAAGCATAATCTCCGTGATCTGGAGGACGATCCACCGCGGAATAGATGGATGATAGCTGGGTGGAACTCGTAGAAGAGTTTGAAGTAGACCTCTGCCCAGATAACCAGGCGGAAGACGCGTTTACAGGATTATCATCCTCGTGTGAGCGTGTGCCAGGTGTGCTGGATGATGGGTAGACGAGTGAATTACTATACTGCGCTACGTTTTCCATCGATGCTTAAGCACACATCTGCTAGAAAAAAAACAGCCGCTGTGAGTGAAAAGGAAGAAAGATTGGGTCGTTGGTGAAAGGTTAAGCCTTTTTATGTAGCCGGAAGGAAAGTAGAAAATTGAACCGGCAGATCAGGACTTCGACTTGGATCGAAGCCACAAGCCTTGAACTGGCATGACGCCTGTCCAACACCTGTCAGCCCTTGATTCCTTTTTCGATACCCCTTGGTAGCCTTGTGTTTTCTTATGGTTTTTGTCAGCTGCTTCGTTTGTTACACTCCGTCAGATGCAAGCTATCTTTCAAAAACACGTTGAAATCGTCCACAATGTCCTAACTTGGGTCCTCAACATAATCCATCATCATCGCCATGCAAACCCGACTTTACGGATCCGGGAGGCAACCACGCCTCCGCCTCTTGTCTTTTAGCTGTGCACAAGTTTACCTATGCACCACTTTTAGTCAGTTCTGACTTACTACTGCTTCTTGTTCTTTGCTTAAAACCAGATCTCATGACGTCGGTCACTTCGGTGACAATTCACATTCCAGGCTCCTCGAGATGAAATATGCCTTTTTGCGCCTGATATACCCTGTGGGCTTAGTCTCAGATCCTACTACGTCTTTATACCTGTGCTTTCAATCCGTAAACGCGTTTTCCTGCAGGCTTCTGAGTTAGCGATGCCTCGTTGGTCCCCTTTCGTGCTCTCAAACTATGTTATCCTCAGCGCTTGCTGAATTATGATTTACCACAAACAGGTTCGGATCTCCCATGGTCACACTGCATTGCCAGTATGTTTATATTTCGCCATGGATACAACCATTAAAGTATGTTCATGCCTCTTGTTCCGCGCCGTTAACTCAAAAGAAAAATAGCTTTGGATCCTTTTAAAGCGACGCAATCGCCACCCTCGGAAATGAATCACCTCATGTTTTCTATCCATGAATGATCGTGGAATTGGAACCTTATGGGGCGGCCATTTATCATTGGAGCGAACTATCAGCATCTTCTGATGCGATCGTCTGGTGGCGGGGTGTTCTAGACAGGGGGCGATTCTCTTGGAGTGCCCTTGACACTAGCCGCTAAAGTCTCGGTAATGAACTTTATCGCTGAACTCTACATCTGTTTGACATTTCTTCCCCTGTCGTCTACGTTCAATCAACTCCCAGCGGCTTTCACCCGCTTGACCATGCCCAGATATGGATACCAGTCGTGTTATTGGATTCCTGTGGACCCTTTACTCTGATAACGCTACAGGTTTAAGTCACGTTGGATCTTCCATCTTCTTCATTAATGCTATTCGCGTTACCAGTAATTCCAGAATGGGGTATCTTCATGTTCGGTGCATCTATACTGTCCACAGCACTTTGCGTTGTGGGTACTGTCCCACAGTGGTGTCCTGATCGCCAGTATAGCGGATCCTGCCTGGTGTTTGGGTCATTTTGTTGCCGTCTTATGATCACAATGAGACCAACATGTCAAAGAAGTATTTGCAGTGCCCTTTTGAACCCGATGTAGGCCACTTTCTCACATTGCCAAGTCGAATTTCCACTGTAAACTAGGGCAAAGCGCAGATACCAATCAGGCACACTACTGAATAGCTCTGGCGCCTCTAAGCTCCATTCGACACGGGTATGTATGCTTCCCCTGATCAATGAAACTTCCATTATGATGTGCATGTTCATGACAAAATTCTGACTCGAAATGACTGCGTGGATCAAATATATCCTCCTCGTGTTTCTGCCACACGTTTCTAGCCTACGACATTTGCGGAGCTGCGGTGGGGCAAATCTTACAACTCAGTGGAGAGTCTGGACTTGAAGATTGATGAGAAGTCCCTGGGCGTTAAGGCTCAGTCCGGTCTATCATGTATACTGAAAAGCTGTGTGTCTATCAATATTTTATCCGAAGGTAATCTCATGTTATTCTTATTCCTGTCAGTACACTGGCATGCACGATGAGTAATGAGTTAGAGTGCCTGCAGGTATAGTGTCACAATATTTTCTGTAGGCCCGATTTAATATAGTCAGCCTATGTATACTAGTACTGTGGCGAAAAATCTGAACCGCCTGAAACGGCCCGATACTATCGTACGGCCATGTCGGATCGTTGATTTCCGGGACCCTGAAAGCTGAAACAAGATTTTTGGCAACTTGAAGGACTCATCGTTGCGACCAGATCAGAAACCACCAACGAAAGAAAGCTTCTTCGTCTTGTACTAGATGTTGACAACGATCTAAAGGTTACATTGGATAGTGGCTGTAGCAGTCGGACATGATATTAACAAATTATTATGCACCAGACGATTGGATGCAAGCATAAACAACAGTAAGAAAAGCGCCAGGGCCCAGGTGCGGGAACGGCAGCACGAGCCGCCCTCGTTGTTCACAAGCAAACATTCACGAAAGAGGACGCTAAGGTCTCCGTAATTGCCCTGGTAAAGCGTAAGTTGTCGGACCCGAGCTGGCCACACTGTGACCAATTGGTTGAATGTTTGACGTAGATGACTATCGGGCGTGATACCTGTGTCTGGACACAGGATATCATGATATGTAGTAGGCACGACTCAGAGATATATGCCTCTCATGCCTAATGCTAATAGATCTTGTAAATGACCTGATGATTTCGATCCTTTCCAGCACGTCTTTGATGAGTGCCTGGTCAAGTCGCCAAGTTCCGCCAGACCTGATACGGTAAATGGGATTTTTCCGCCAACTTATCGTGTCAAGTCTTGTTCTTGAGCACCTGCCATATCTGGCATGATGACGTAAGAATAAGAAGCAAAATTTTGTTGTACTTCCATTGCATAGCGATCGAACGTAAAACGTTCAGCGCTAGCCAGTGGACAATATAATGCTTGACTCAGATCAGACAACTGGTGAGTCTCCCTAGGGTGCTTTACGTTCATTGCGGTAGTTTTCTCACATTATACATGGCTTTATGTTTCAATATAACGAAAACCTTTTCTATATATGGTGCCGCATCTGCGGCTCACCAGTCTCTGATGCGCCACTTCTCCAGCAGAAACTCATGACTCACGAGTGCGCAAGTGTCGAAATAAAGTGAACCCCGGAGCATAGCAGGAGCACAGGAATTGGACCTTTTTCAGGTCATTGGGTCTACTTAACGCCGGGTCACGGACTGTCTCGGATGCGAATCGGAGCCATGCGGAAACGCGACTAACATAAGAGACCGACTTGCGCCCTCGTACCATGTGTGCATAATACCATATTTCTTACCAATCAACACTCGGACCTCTTGTCGATTATCTATGTCGAGTATCTTGAGGACTGCCCTTGTTAGTGCTGGTCCTGCCTGCCGCATTGGCATTCTTCACTCTGGGTTGAACCTAGCCCCTAAATTAGGAACTACGTTCGCAACACGAGCGCTCATTCATACTGGTCAACCAAACAACAACTCATTGACAGGGAAACGAATCAATGAAGAATCCCCCACAGGAACAGAGGGCTTCCATCTCAGTCAGGCCCATTTATCCATTATTGTTTCTCGTTACTGACGCACCGGTAATCCTTTTGCAGAAGACTCGGCTGCATCTAAGCAGGGTCTGACTACTCCTGATGCAGTTAGCACATTGCCACCGACTATCGTGCGAGGCGATTGGGTTCTATTTCATCCTGTATACTCTCAGGAGGAGATCAAAGCAGTCGAGGTACTTCCTGCATTTCCTCCCTGATCACGCTTGGTATTAAACGCGAGCTGGCAGGTTCTCCAAAGGGAAGCGAAAACTATATCGGACAAAATTGCATACCATCTTGTCAGGTTGACAAGGTGAGAGTCAGAGCTTCTTTCTGGTATCGTGCAAGTATTCATGTACATGCCAGATGGGGATTTGATCTAGTGTCTGGTTACAAACACAAGCCGATCCCCGCTGATAGCAAGATGTCGGTCGAAGAACTCAGGAAGGGCGGATATATCTTGGATGAGAAGGCGTGGTTAAGTGTGAGCATATCCATCATCAAGTGTTATTTCCGTTGTTTCATTACCGTTGTTTAGCGCATCCTTTTCTTGGAGACAGTTGCCGGGGTGCCCGGAATGGTCGCGGCGATGCTCCGCCACCTCACCAGCCTGCGTCTCATGGTCAGCTAAACTTCTTTTCTAACGATCACATTCTTAATTATTTGATAGCGTCGAGACTCTGGTTGGATACATACCTTGCTGGAGGAAGCCGAGAATGAAAGAATGCATCTAATGTGATTGGATTGTGTTTCGTGAAGTTGAACATAGCTGACTAGGCATTATCGTATAGGACCTTTATGACCTTGCGAAGGCCTTCATTATTTTTCCGAGGCCTGGTTTTAGGGGCGCAGGGCGTGTTTTTTAACTTATTTTGTACGTGGCATCGAATCGGTCGGGATCTCAAACACATTGCTAACTCGCACTGCCAGTCTTATCCTACATAATATCGCCCCGCACATGTCACCGATTTGTTGCATACTTAGAGGAAGAAGCCGTTTTAACCTAGTAAGGACAAGCTTCATTTGTCTTGGTGCAACAACGCTAACCAACTCAGTACTCGTTGTATCCAGGACATCGAATCTGGACGTCTACCTGAATGGAGCAATATGCCTGCTCCGGAGATTGCCAAAGACTATTGGCGTCTAGACCCTAGCGCCAACCTACTTGACGTCATTTACGCTGTGCGGTCTGATGAATCTACGCACCGTTTCGTGAACCACAGTTTCGCCAACCTGAATACCGAGACTGACGTAAACCCTTTCGCCCTCCGAGAACCTGACATGCTTGTCAAAGGGCGCAAGCTTGGGTACGTAAATTGTACCACTTTCATAACTATTTCACCTGACGCCTGAGCAGATTCTCGAGGGAGGAAGCCGAACAGTACGTGGAGGAGTCGCATCAAATGCTGGAGCACGGTAAAGCCGACTCGAAGTAGCCGGCTAGTACATCTCGGATCTCGGACCAGGCCACGGACCGTCGCATCCGTTATACGTTAAACCCCCACTCGATTTAGATACATACATTACATACTGATATAGACACTGAACATTCTGAGAACAATTAGACTACCGAGCTAGACACCATGATAAACGAAATACATTGGGAGCGAAAACGCGGCCGACAGAACCCCACACGTGCATAAAGGTTTGAAAGTGTACAAGAAGATTTACGTCTATCCTTGTTGGTTTGGTCGCAACGAACAATAAGGACGCTTAGCAGGGTATAAGGTGACCCCTTGTAATGTGCGTTCACAGACAAACCATAAAACCAGGTTAGGGTTTGATGACGTATGGTTGGCCACTTTCTTTAACCCTGCGCCACTAACACCGTCACGGGTCACCAGTCTTGTCTAGCGAGCGCTAGGCCTCAGCCACTCAACACCCACCCCCTTTTGCTCATGGCCTCCTTGCAGGTGCATCAAAGTGAACCACTTTTACGTGATGTCGCATTGGCACATCCTGGCGAGTCCCTCGCTAGTTATGATCATTCAAGACGCCGGATTTTCATAGGACCCATGCCAGAGAAAGATGCCTCGAAGGATGCCATCCAAACAGATTTGGATTCGTCTAACAAAAAAGTTACAAATCAAATTCTAAGATGGTTGCGTTCAAGTGACGAAGGAAGTGATGGGGCCGACGATTCGTCTACCTCATTCCTCCAAAACCATGCATACCGCGGTTTCCTTCGCAAAGGTGGGAGAAAGGAAGACTGGGGACAGGAAGCTGATATGGATGAGCGACAAAATATGTGGAAGCGGTGGCAAGAAAGCGAATGGGGCGGATCCTTGAGACGTCACAAAAAGGACGCTGGCACTACCACGCAACGTTGGGTAGGGGGAAGCTTCGAAATCGGAAATGTCTTAGGTGTAAACATTCTCGACAGCCCCGCGATATCGCTTCCACAGGTTAATCAGACCTGTCCCGAGGCTCAAACTGATGTCCCCTCCCCAACCGAGCCCCCTTCTACGGTCGGCTATCAAACGTTTGTCACAGCTAGGACATGGCTTCCTCCTAGCGCAGTTCTTGACTCTCAAGCATCCATATCTCCTTCCCCGAGTCCCGAGCCCTCTTCTAGCGCAGGTCTTTTTACTACTGGCATGGCTCCCGAGTATGGATCCTCCGCTAACGACATTAGTGTTGCACCCCCAGAGGGCTCTCAACGAACTACTATTCTAAAGGGAAAGAAATCCTCGGCACACACGAATGCAAATAAACGAAAAACATTATTCTTCGTTGGTGGTCGTGTAACCACTCCAACAGGCTCGGACTCCCAGCTCGCACCAGTTGGCTTGGACAAGGGGAAGGGGAAGGAAAGAAGCTTTTATCATGCTAATGAGGGGACTTCCTCAAACTTGCAGCTCCCAACTGATGTCAACGATATTCCCGAATCTCCTGCGGCTGTCCTTGCAAGAAGTGGAAGTGAAGTAAATGAAACTAGCGCAGGAGTTACCTTGGAGACTACCTCACGCGAACAATCACAGATAAAACAGCGGGAAAATACAGTACTCCGAGGTCAGTATCTTGAATTGTGTCGTTAGAAGGCGTCCATTGATATACAGTTCCATCTCCCATAGACCGAATGCTCGTCAGAGTTAGCTACACAAAATCCGATTCATTTCCTTGCCACTTTGATGAAGTCCAGAATCGTGCGACTCCTCATCTTAGATACGAGGATTGGGCTGAATTTTTGGTGGTCTGGCGCGGAGAGCGGCTTGAGATCTACGAAGACTATGTGAGCCTATTTTTCCAACTTGCTGAGCTATGATGTGTATCCCATCAGACCTTGCCTGGGAAAGAGCACATCACTGGACATAAACATCTCGCATTCATAATACCCCTCAAATCTCAACGAACACATTTAACCCTTTATTCCTTCACCGACTTCACTTTCTGTATTTCGTGTCCGCGCGTGCCAGTCCGTAACAAACATCCGAAAGCCAAAGCTCTATTTGACCGCGGACGAGAAGGGACTAATGTGTTCATTTTCAAGCCGAAGTGTCGTACAAGGGCTATGGACTGGTGCTGGCAGTTATGGTCAGTACGAAATACTCAGGACACAGCTTTTGATCGAGCAGTCATTACAGGCGACATCTGGGCGGTAAAATACCCGCTTCTATTGAGCTCAGGTGCCCGGCCATCGGTACACGCTTTGATTTAGATGTTCCTGCCTTCGACGAAGTCGATATTGACAAGGCCTATCACATGTTCAGCCGGAGAAATATCACCGATGCTGTCCGGAAGTCTATGGCTTCATCTTGTGGTTCCCACAAGCTTGTATCTCGTGACTGGAATCATGTAGTAGAACGCAAAATCGCGGCAGGCACGACCCTCCAGTTAGCGTGGAACTTGGGGGCAAAACTTGACTGGGTTTGGAAGGAGGAAGACGTGATGGGTCAGCCTAGGCCGTGGGCTGTCCTCTGTGGGTTGGCGATGCAACAGGTGAACATGATGTGAGACTCCTGACATATGTTCAGCTGACGTCTTACTCAGGGAACCAAACCAGCGCACCTTGAGCTCAGGCTTGGACAACACTATCCGGCTACAATTCACCTACCCGATGGGACAAAGGTACACGAACCTCCATGTATAGAGGGGTATCTCGATCGCATCAGACCCAGCAGTCAAGGTAAACAACATATTTACCTTACTTCGCATGACGGCCACCTTTTTGCCCTTTGGCCCTCGAATTCTCACGCTCCTGTCCCTCCGAACGTTCATTTATCTCGTGCCCTATCGTCACACCATAATGAATCACTAGAATACACTCGAGCTTTTCGTGAGGCCGAGGTCGCACGAGGGGCATATCAAATTGCAGCCGCATTTGAAGCTTTTGACCTGCGGAATATCAGGCAGATCCGCAGGGCGACCCACGAAACCATCGATCATGATGCTAGGACCCATGCCACGGCTACTGTAGCTGGTGGATCTGTGGGAAGCCAAGATATTTTAACTACTGACGAGGCTGACATCGGTGGAGCCGAGGGTCTTGCGCAGGCTCAGGATAAGAATCGGCTGCGTGTCAGACGCTGCTTCGAAATCGTCATGATATCTGGGCGCGTGATCCGATTCGAAGTAAGAATATTCGGAGTAATTTGGTTCCTTGTTTGATTCTCTTTTTAGGCATATTCTTGCCAAACGAGTCAAGAATGGATCGACCGACTACGCGCACTTGTCGAATACTGGACACAACGACATCATACTGATGCTCGAGATGAGATGAAGATATCTTACTCTACATGCCATCGTCCCCCCGTCACTCCGCGTGTTACTAAGCATGCGTGCTGTAATGGGGAGAAAATTCCAACAGCACCCGTTGTAGATGCTGAATTTATGCCTGAACTGAGCTCATTGTATCATTGGTGCACGCTGGACAGCTGTAGAAGCTTGCTCAAGAGTGGCCGCGCATTCATACGAAAAGGGTTCCGGGGACAGTACAAGTCAGTGATCGCCTGTATTGACAGGTCGCGAACTTACGCCTTTCTATGATGGCAGGCTCGTGCAGTTGTTCCTAATCGCTGGACGTCTCCTCCAATACCATGTCTCGCGGAATTCATTTCTCCGTCATAAGAGCAAGGAGATCAATCTAATGGATTCTTATGTTTGTTCAGGGTATTTGGCTACTCTTGCATTGCAGCCAGGCGAGTATCACCCTGAAACTCCCAGTGTTGCCCGTCGTTACTTTGACGGATTCGAAGCCGATGACCCAGAAGAGGATATGCTCTTTGCTATTTGGTACCGCAAAAGTAGGGACGGAGCTGCGGACAGCGTGCCTTCCCTCTCGGCAAAGCACAAGGTTATTGTGTTCAGGATGAGAAGCAGGGTTGAAAGGGATGCATGGTGTTGGGCACTAGGGTGCGAAATCGAGAAGCTCGTTAGGGCAAACAAAGAAAGGGAATCGAAACTGAGAGACGCCGGAGGGCTTGTGGAAATGTCTGTTTTCGAAGACTGAACATCGCACTACAGACTGTATATCGCACTCATATATCATCATGATGTCGTAGGCCATGCTTGTCAGGAAAACCCTTTCATTAGGATCCCTGATCAGTATAAGCTAAGTAAAGCCAGGCCAAGATTAGTTGCAGAGAAGCTGATTTACTCTATCACCTCATCATCGTCAACCTCACTGTCATCTTCATCCCGCTGAGCCCTTCTTGCAGCAAGTTTGGCTCGTTTTTCGAGACTACTGTCGGCAACCAGCATAGCTATAGTGAGCTTTTGACTGCAGCCTGCGGCAGGGCACGACTTTCCAGAAGGTGGGCCTTTATTTATGTATTCCCGGATAGCATCTCCAGAGAAGGCGTGGCCACAAGTGGAGCTGCAAAAGTTGGGTTATATAGAACAAGTCCAATATGAATTCACTTACGATTTCAGGGGATTCACCAGCATCGTCAAGGTGATGGGACATTTGAAGTCTTGTGTGACTCCTCCAATCTCTAAATCGTCGTCGTCATCACTTTCATCACCATCCTCTGAAGACCTTTGTCAGAATCCGTTACACGCAAGATGCAGAAACAATAACCTCGTGGTATAAAGTCATTAATGGGAGGTATGTTCTCGCCAGGATTTTGGACCTCCTATTTGAAAGGGTGAGTTGATGAAGCCAGTGAACTGTATATTAACGGACAACGTACAAAAATGCCTTGCTTGAACTGAACGTATTGATCGTTCAAGCCATACTTCTTCCGAGACGTTCTATCGTTGAATTCATTAATCCTCTTCTTCACCTCTTTCTCATAGAGCTCTACGGCACCCTCCTGTTTGAGGCGTCAATATCCCCAGATTCTCCATCAGGACCCACTCACTACTGGCTCGCCACGCATAAGCTGTTGGTGCATCCAGCTAAGACTCTTCTCGTGTGATTGCATCTCGTGGTCGATGTCAATCAATGTTTTCATAATATCATCAACCTCTGACAAAGCCTGAGTAGTCCGGGTGGTCAGAAAGCGCCCATAGTGAATGGTGACCGGTAATAACTCACCTGGTTTGCGTTATCTCCTTCCAAGACGTCTGCAAGCGAAGTAGCCACATCCTTCGCGAGGGCGATTGAACCCTGATGAATCTGCTTCCGGATCATTTCCCAGTCCTGCGCAATGCCCGAGAGCTTTGTGCCTTCCTTCTTGTCTAGGGGCTGGTCATGAAAGTTTTCGATGTCAATGCGATTGTCCTCGTCATCATCCTCAACAGCAGGG